TCGAAGAGACAGCAGCTGGATCCTCATAGTGTAGAAAGTGTCGGCCAAAGGAATCATAAAATATTTTTCCAGCTAAGGACATCCTTTTCTATAATATGATGAAGGAAAAGCACATCAGCAAACCCCTTAGAAATTTACCTTAAGAGTTTCTCCTTGTATGAGGCTGCACTTGGAAAAGATCAGTGCTAACGAACGTTATTTGTGAAAGCTGCAAGCCATGTAATGAGACCAAGCATTACAAGGAGAACTGTTTGGAGCAAAGTGTGATAAACGGAGGGAGAGTAACTCACGGTAACAGAGGTACTGCTCTGGGAGAATTTCCCATAAGGCTCCCCTTCTCCTAGCCTCTAAAGAGGCACGGTCACTTCCTGTTCTCTTGTATAAAGCTATTTCAGATGGCTCTGTCCACAAATTCTTGGTGTCTTTCTAGGATAGCATTGGAAGGAGAGTGTTAGTTTCAAAGAAATTCAGAGCATTTAGAATAATACTCATCTGGGTGACGAGGGGAAAAGAGACCCAGGAAGTTCCAGAAGTATCAGTGCTTCAAGAAACTTGCCCCAGGGACAAGAACTGGGTGGGGTAGGACGGCTCGACAAAGCTCGTACTCTCTGGTTCTGTTCGGAGCTGGGGCTGCTGGGGTCAGCTCTGTGAGGATGTAACAGCACTTTCCTGCAGATGCTTGCTTCGCGCTTATTTGAGCGTCTGAAGGTAATGTCAAAGGTAATGCCAAGGACAACTCCACGCAGAAGTCACAGGAACAGAAGCTGGAAAATGCGCAGGGCCCAGATTTCCGCCTGCGGTTTTAGAGCAGACAGCCCTCTGTGTTTCTCAGACCCCGCCAAGCCCCAGAAGCACGTGAAACTATGTTGCAAAGGCAGGTCCCCGGGGTCTTTCCAGCAGAAAGTCTGATACAGGCGCCCGAAATGAACGTCTGACTGTGGGCAGAAACTGACCGTCGCGAGTTTCTCTAAAGGAAAATTTCTAAGAGGCTATTTGCAACAGAGGGCAAGCCGAACCCACTGTTTCCATGACAATGGACTGGGGCAGCTTGGTGACAGATGCTGACACTTTAGTTAGTTAAATATTTTTAAGGCCAAATGCAGTTAATGAGGCCTTGGGAGAGGGGAGGGTTAATAAAAAACAGTTTATGTTCTAACAGACACCAGCCTAAAGATAGTCATAGTCACTCGTTGGACGTTTAAAAGTTTAGATCGAAAGCAGAAATTAATCTGCTGTATTAGTCGGTTATGGAATTTGTGGTTTAAAGATTTTAGGTATTTTGATTTTATTCAATGGTTGGCCTGTTTGCTGTGAGCTCTTCTTACATGGAAACTCTTTTCAGGCTTGCAGCTAAAATCCGAGAGAAGATTCGGAGGGGTGCCCCGACTCAGCCCGCCCTAAACTCATTCTCACTTATCCCAGCTCTTCGTTGGGACATTCCTACCTCTTACAGTTAGTTGTGCTTGTGCGTTTGTGTGTGGCGGTGTGTGCACACACATTCCCGTGGACAAGTGTGTGCTGAACCCAAGTAATAAGCTGTTTCAGTGGAACCTTTCATCGTCTCTGTTTTATTACAAAAGAATAAACATGTTCATCTGCATAATGTCGGTATAAGGATACTCTGAATAAATCAAAGAGGAGCAGTCTCCTTTTTTTTTCTCTTGGCCATGAAATTCATGAACCTCATTCCCCACCCCCATCCCTAGTAACGTGCCTTGTTGCCCTGTGAGCAGCCCACACACATTTTGTTTATATACCCAAAGATTGTGTGATGGGTTACTAACCAAAAGGACTGGCCTGTCAATGAGGTGAAAGGCAGGCAGGCAGACAGACAGACAGACAGACAAGCAGACAGGCAGACAGATAGATAACAAACAGAATAAATAGAATAGAGTTAGACAAAGTGGGCAATTTTATGTCTATTCATAAGGTATTTTGCTTCTTGTTTTTCTTGTATCGGTTCACTGAAATTAAAAGATCAGGGGCATATCACTTAAAACTTTCCACACAAGATCTCTGCCTCTTCTTCCCTCGTCCTACAAAAATGGGCCTGAATCTTGAGACCATTCTCGCTCCGTTGAAACCATAAGCACAATCTGTTCACACTTTCACTCGGAACCCTCAACCACGGTTCCCTTTCTTTATCTCTTGTTGAGCAGGGTGGAGACAGAAATCCACAGGCTTTTCTGGGTAAAGGACTTCTACCTCAGCAGTGGGGGATGAGCAAAATATCGCCGACAGGTTCTCTTTACTTTCCTTCTGGTGGTTTGGTGTGACAGAAACAGGGGCTCCTGGTTGGAGTTCTGTGAAATCCACAATGTTTATTAACTGTCAGCTTTCATTGCCAGAGAGGCTTATGCACATAGGCTGGTCCTGCTTTGCATAAGCATGTGGACTTACAGGAATGCTGTTTTGACCTCAAATTGATGAAATGCTGGAGAGACAGACTGGGAAAAGAGCACTATATTATGGAGGGCTCCTGTCGAAGACAAAGGCACCAGATCCTCCCCCAGTTAGGGCCGGGGAATTGCCTACTGTTGACTTTTGGGAAGAAAATATTTCTGAAGAAGTACGACACAGTGTCGTAATATACAGACTCCAAGTATCTTACAAATACCATGGATTGGGTCACGTTTGGAACTAGGACTCCACCCAGTAAAAGTTCAGGAAGGCGTGAGGTTTAGTCCTCTCTGCCAATACCAGTGTTAAAAAGACTTAATAATTTTTATGACTTTATGTCAAAAAAGAAGGTGAAATTAATGTCCATATCCTGGACCAGAACTGTGCTAAGCACTTTCTCTGACTGATACTTAGTTCATGTCCCGTCTGCATTTCAGCTTCTCTCATTGGTGCTTAGCAATTGATTGACAGCTCTCTGACTTATTTTGTTATACCTTGTTTCTTCATGTTTTCCCCATCCACCGTGACCCCCACTAACATTCTGTGTCTTATAGTCACCAACCAAAGCTCTCCTGTTGGTGAAGAATTTGGGGCCCCTTACTTTTCCCAAGAATATGTTCTTCGTAAATCTTTTTATTCATGGTGTAATTAAAAATGTCCCCCTACCCTTGGAAAGATATTTGCTGTCAAAGAGAATAGTCTTGAGTGACTGAGGAGAGGGGGACACTTTCTTCTCCATCCCCAATCTGACCTCTTCAGTAGGCTGCCCTCTAACCCTGACCTTGGCCCTTTCTGAAGGAACTATTGTAAAGCGACTATCACGCTGCTTGACCTGGGCTCTGGTTTCCAGGAAGCCGGCGCTTTCTCCCTTGTCCTCACTTCCCTGTGCCTTTCAAGGTCAGCCTCCAGCACCTGATGCAACCTGGGCACATCCATCCATCCTTGAAGTTCTGGATTCTGCTCCAGAATTGCAGGTATTTGCCTGTAGGCCACTTATGTAACTGCCTTGAATCTCGGTGACTCGTTTATGCGTTATGGAGGACCTACAGAATGAAACGCACAGTTTGCCGGAGAGAGCGATAGAAGTGTTTATGGGAGAGCAGAGTTCTAGTTTCACCTCTTGAAACTCCTGGCACGTTGAACAAGAGAGTCATACTTATGGAGCCTTAATTTTCTCACCTGTCAAAATGGGCTCATGTGTCCTCTACAGGGATGTGTTGTGAGGGCCAAGCCAGCTAACACATGTTAAAGTGCTCTGTAGAGTGTAGAGTTTATAGAAAGTAAGTAATTATTATGCAAATGATGAGAGACTGTATCAGAACTCTAGAAAAAGCAAATGCCTCTATGGAAGTAGGTTAGTCCTCTCTTTTAAATGTGGGGCTTCTGGCAATCCTATCAGCAAGGGGCTGAAGGTTTGCACTGACAGCGATCCAAGAGCAGTTCAACATCAGAAGTTTTACTTTTGCAAAGGAATCCACCCTCCCCCCCAAAATGTAGGGAAACACTCATAGGAGTTGGCCCAACTACCAAAAAGCTCTTTAATGTTTATTCTCTTGAAGATATTATTGATGTCAAAGCAGAACAAACAAAAATGAAACTGAACTCTCATTGCAAAGTGTTCTCCTGCAGTGCTTTTCGTAACTCTCTTGGATTTTGAAAGTTCTTCATGTTTCCTTAACACTGCACACACCTAGAAAGTGTGGATTGTAGCATCAAACACATTTTCCAGGTGTGTCTTTAAAAGCTCCGGGCAAGTTCAGATGGATGGAGGGAGGGAGGGAGGGATGGATGGTGGGTGGATGGATGGATGGAGGGAGGGAGGAAGGGATGGATACCAGTAGGTAGGTCGGTAGGTAGGTAGGTAGGTAGGTAGGTAGAAAGAAAACATCAAATGAGAAAAAAAAATCCTGAAGTTAAACTGCACAAGACGAAAGCTTACTAAGGAATACTGGCTCTCCTAAACACACAGACAGTCTTCTTGTATTGCCATTTAGATCTATCATTCTGATTGATCACTGTGTAGTTGGCTCTTATTGGGCCTAATTTAACCCTATACACTCACACATCCATCTACTCTGTCTATTGTACCTGACATTCTACAAATTACTTACTCATGCAAATGATGACCTAAGGCAACCTTTTAGGATATCCGTGCTTAATTATACAAATAGTTCTTGATAAATAAGATTATACCTCCTTCCATATGTTTATTCGCTCCTTGATGAAAGGAAAATCTAATTTTCATGCAGATTTGGTGGGGCCAGTGTTTAAGAATTGCTGAGTTTTTAAGTAGTCTGCAGAGCCATCCAATCCGCAGAAGCTGAAGAACATCACGTCGCCTGTGCTCAGAGACCGGTGGTTTTTCATCAGGCTTGAATCAGCTGCTGGGTCCTGGAATCGGGACTCCGCAGCGACCCCTCTGTGTTCACAAGGGCAGATAATCCATAAGCGAGGAAGGGCTCAAACTCCTGCATGATCACAGAGTTGCAAGATCAAAGTGTGTCTTGTGCTGTTGTGTTCAGTAAGTTTGGGTTGCCCACTTTTTGTTTCCGCCCCAGCTTGACCTGCTTTTGACTGCTCTTTCTGATTTCTCTTGGAAGGTCTGGGCGGTGAATTCAGCAGGGAAAGCCCCCAGTAGCTGGACGTGGTGTAGGACTGGACCCGCACCCCCGGAAGGTCTCAGGGCCCCCAGGTTCCATGCAGTGTCTGCCACGCAAGCGGTGGTCAACATCAGCGCCCCTGGGAAGCCCAACGGGGTCATCAGCCTCTACAGGTTGTTCTCCAACAGCACCGGCGCGGCGGAGGTGGTGGTGAGTGTCCCCTAAACTCAAAGTCTAGGACTGGTTCACTTATGTATTTTCCGTAAACCACGATGCCCTTGCCTTTTCTTCTTCTTGGTCCTTCTTTCTTGTGCATCTGCTCTCAGTGGCCCCAGGGTGAGCTTAGGGACACAAAGATCCCTCTAAGAAGAAATAGGACACACAGACAGTATGTCATGCTCAGGCAGAGAACTGTTGAAGGTGGTATTAAAGGCCCCACACGTGTTGTGAGAAACCTACGACTTCACAGGTAATAAAATCAAATTAATTTAGTTAGAAAATGCACCTTAGCACTCCATGTAGTAGCAAGCGGCCCAGAGTAAGGGCAGACAGATGGCCATGTTGGTGACGGCCATGGCACTCCGAAAAGGAAAAACTAGAACGAAGAATACCCTTGGGATCCTCCTGTTGGCATTTGAAAATTTCTGGAACATCCTGGAAATGCAGTCTTCCTTTCGGTGACTTTGAGAAAGTTCGAGCATGTTGGAAGAATGTGCAAAACGACTTAGTCAACAAAGCTGTGTGGCCACATTTGGGGCCCAGCGGGGACAAGGGATGGGCTGTTTGGGGACATCAGCTTTCACGCCAGCCAGTGGCTGAAGGGTCACTGGTAATCGATGAGCCCAGCTCCTGTGCAAATGAAATGAGGAGGCTGAAAGCCAGTGAGTGGAGGTCTCTTTCCTCAGTCGCTCTTCCATTTCTCATGAACAAGAGTAGTCTGCAATACTTTGTTCACGTAAACCTTGGAGAGAAATTGTGCACATCCCAGGATTACATCATATATATCATTTAGATCAATTTAGGCAATGATTTGGGCAAGTGTGCGGGAATCTGCAGAGGCCCCGTACCAAAACACAATTTCGCAAGACAACTCTCAGATACGAGGAAATCTCCTATCGAGTGTTAAAGGAGAATTAGCATACTTCCTACAGGGCTTTGTATTCAATAAATATAGATGATGTAAATACAATCAACCCTTGATTATCCATGCTTATACAATGATAATATTAATGAACTAAAATAATTTATATTTGGAGTGCATTGCAGGCAACTTTTTTTTCCAATAGCAGATAGCTCCTCTTAATCATATGTTGTTTATGTCAATGTGGAAATTAGTTCTTAGTTTCTGAAGGCTTCTGTCCCAAAGAGTTCTTAAGGAAACCACAATGAGGTAAAATAAATAAATAAATAACTAAACCAAAAAGTTTATAATGTAACAAGGATAATTGTGAAAAAGACTATGATATTTCATACAACCAACACCCTCAGAGAAAAAAAAAGATAGACTATCAAACTCTTAGATATATATAAAATATATAATATAAAAATATACAGACATATCAAATACATATTTTAAGCTCTTCAGTACCCGACTCTAACTTGGATTTGAAGGGATTTTTTGGACCCCAAAATTACATGCACATAACAATGGCAGAATATGGACTTTAGAGAATGTTGAGTAGGAATATAATTCAAATACAGATTTTTTTTAAGGCATCATTCTGAGGGTCACAGAGTTTCATCAAAATTTTGTGCATTTTGTGCCATTTTCTAGTATCTTCTGATGGTCAAAGACAAGGTATGATTTCTGTCTGATGACCACCTCAGACTGCGACCTAACTGTTAAATGGTTACATTTCCACATGTCTCAGTCATGCCTCTCCAATGGGTTGGTAGTTCCTTGATGGTAAATGCTAGCTACAGCCACGGTGCCTCTCCAGGACTACCTGGCGTGCGCTCTGGCCGTGGTAGGTGGGGTCCCCATGCACCTGTGTCCCTGGCCTGTGTTCCGGGTGCGGCCTCATCAAGCCTTCTCCATCCTGCAGCTATCGGAAGGCCTGGCCACCCAGCAGACCCTCCATGGCCTGCGGCCCTTCACCACCTACTCCATCGGCGTGGAGGCCTGCACCTGCGTCAGCTGCTGCAGCAGAGGTCCCACAGCGGAGCTGAGAACACAGCCTGCTCCACCCTTGGGCCTGTCCTCACCCCAAGTCCAGTCGCTGGCCTCCAGGACTGCCTCCTGCCGGTGGGGTCCCCCGCTGTTCCCTAATGGTGTCATCCTAAGGTAACTGATCAGCCGGAAGAATGAATACACCAAAATAAGACATGCAGCTAAACAACAAAACAGACAAGCAAGCAGAATAAAAACAAAGACACTGAAATAGAGAACAAGGGGACAGCGACCACAGGGGAGAGGGGAGGGAATTTAAGGGGAAAAAAGGGGAGGGATTTAGAGGAACAAGTATAAAGGACACAGGGACAAGAACTAAGGGGGGGTGGAAATGGGAGGGAGGTGGGGTGCATGGGGAGGGGTGAGCTGGGATGGGAGAAATAAACAGAAAACTGTACTTGAAAAATAACTAAATAAAAATTTTAAAAAAAGAAAAATTAAAAAAAAAGAATGTAATAAACAAAATAGAGAAACAAACAAAATAAAACCAAAGACACTGAAATTGAAAACATGCTGACAGGGACCAGAGGGGATAGGAGAGGGAATTTCAGGGCAAAAGGGTGAAGAGTTTGCAGGAACAAGTACAAAGGACACATGGACAATAACAAGGCTGGAGATGAGAGGGAGGTGCAGAGGGCTGGCGGGCTGTTCTAGGATGGGGGTAAAAGGCAAAGAATTGTATTTGAACAACTGAAATAAAAAATTAAAATAAAAAAAAAAAAGTGGTGTGAAAATGGGAGGGAGGTGGAGAGGGCCGATATGGTGGGCTGGGATGTGGGTAAAATGCAGAAAACTGTACTGGAACAAAAATTAAAATAAAAAATATATAATTTTGATATCATAAAAAACAGTCAATAATACTAGTAAACAAAGTAATAAAATGAAGAAAACTAAACAAAGAAGAAAATACGAATAAAATAAAGATAGTATAAATAATACTAATAAACTTCATTTGCCCTTGGGAAAAAAAAATAAGACATGCATATTGAATTACCCAGCTCCCCCCAAGAAAGAGTTGCTTAGTTGAACAGATACCTATAGCTAGTGAGACAAATATGTTGATTTCAGTGGAAATGTTCCCCGCAACGTGTTTTAAATCATAATATCAACGAAGGATAGAAAGGAGAACCACAAAACTGTCTTTAAGTCAGGAAGATGATACCGTGTGTTTGCACCTACTGAGGGAATTTCCTTCTCCTCCTGGTTCTCGAAGGATCCATTCTGTAGCCTCAACTGGGGCAGAGAAGTTCAGGGGTTAAGTCAGAATTTCCTTGATCTAATTTACAGTGTTGAAATGAGCCACGGCTTGAAAGAAGTGAAAAGTTGTTTCACTCAAAATAATCATAGGAAAAAAGATTGTCTTCATTTTCAACTGAGGAGAATAATTTTATCAGCTTCCTCTAAAGAGAGAGAAGTATCTTATCTCTCCCTACAAGGACGGCTGGTCTCTGGGTCAACAGCAACGTGTATATGTCTGACTTCTCTTATCTCTGCCGCTGCCCATTTCCCACAGTGTTAAATAAAGTATGTCTGAGAATAGTTTCCCACACGTGGACATTTCAAAGAGCTTGTACTTCAGTGAGAACAGAAGATCTTCTTAGAAAATATCACCAGTTTTACAGAAGAGTTGAACTAATACCATGGCCCATTTTCTCTTGCCTTGTCCATTCTTTCCCTAGCTATGAGCTCCAGTTGCACGGGGCCTGCTCTCCCGACGCGGACGCCCCCTGCACCTCCAGCCAGCCGCAGACAAAGTACAGGGGGCCGGGGCCCACCGCCAGCCTGGGCGGCCTGCAGCCTTACACCGCCTACAGGCTGAGAGTCGTGGCCCACAACGAGGCCGGCAGCGCAGCTTCCGAGTGGATCAGCTTCACCACTCAGCGAGAATGTGAGTAGAAGCAGCCACCACCATAAGCCAGAGAGAGCATCATGGCAGCCGGGCGAGACTTGTCATGAAAAGTGGGGAAAACCAGTTTTAGAACAGGATTGGAGTGAAGGCGTATTTTGTGGACTGCTACTGAGGCATCACGAAGATGACTATTAGAAAAAAGAATGCCTCTTGTGCTTAATAACCTGGAGATCCAGGGTGAATCTAGTGAGATTTTTCATGTGCAATGGGGTGAACCCAATTTAGAGGAAGTGGACGAATGGGGAGGAAGAAAATAGACAGAGAATAGAGACTTTTTTAAAAGGAGTTTATCACTCCCTTTCTTTTCAAATTACATAATGTCCAGCATTTCCATACAGCACTGAACCATGGCAGCAGCATCAGGGAAAGCAGAGGCCACCTGCGTCCCAGAAAAGGACAAGTAACTAATTAATCAAGACCTCCTTACATTTCTATAAAGTAAATGCTTGTTAGACTTTATAACGTACATGTGTATATTGTTGGCAAACATAAACCATTAAGAATCAGGTACTTAGATTCAGCTACATAATTGGTGGGCCCTCTGGAAAAGGAAAATATGAAGCTCCTCATTCAAAACTCATAAGGAATTCTGAGACTTAGAGCATCAGTCCCAGTCCAGGACGCTGCATAGTTAACACACCTGTTACCTGTTCAATGGCACAGGTAACACACCTGGGAAGCTGGTCCTGCTTATAATCCCCCCACGCAGAAGCAACCACTGCTAATACTTGGGATACTCTGTTCCTTTCATACCTTTCCTGTGAGTAGTTTTTATTACGTGGCTGAGATCATCCTAGGATTAAAGTTTTATAGTGTGTTTTTATACTTTACATTATTTTATTTGCATTTCCCATGGCATTAAAAAAAATCTTCAGCCACCCAGTGTAATGGTGGTGCAATATTCCATCCTATGATTTGGTTGGACATTTCGGTTGCCGCTAATTTTTCCTTTTATAAAAGAGGTGAGGGATTTCTCAGTGAACAGTTCTTTGTTTGAACATCGGATTCTCTTCTTCAGTTAAATTTCAATGTGCAGAACTCACTGCATGGGGTGTTTTAACACTTCATGCCTTTGGGTCCTTACTGCCATCTAGCCTTCCAGAAACGTCATATCAGATCCCAAGCGCATCTTCAGCCATCAGCACTGGCACCGGTAAAAGTGAGGGTCACATAAACTCACAGCAAAGACTGTCTTCAGGGCTGAGTGACATCAAAGTGCAGCAGGTGTTAGGGGCAGAGGGCTGTCTCCAAACCCATGATTTCTGATTATTTTGATTGTTTGATTACGGGTTTGCTCAGGAAGACCTCCAAATCCTGAAAGGCAAGCAAAGCTCCTCTCTATGTTTCTACGATTGACAAGCCTTGTCTCCATCTGAACCCTTCTGATGTAGAGAGATGTGGGAGTCTCTGGACTTGACAGAAGGAAGTCCAGACAAGTGCAGCAGTCTGTCCGCTGTGATATTAGGCAACATTTGTGTTGGAAGACCAGGTATTTAAGTAGGGCTTGATATCTCTTGCTTTAGTATTCACAGAAAAAAATTTTAAGGCTTGATGAAAAGGTTTCCTTTTGAAAGCTAGGACTTAACATTTGTCTTCACGGTTGGGTTTTATGATCGTAAAAGCATGAATTATTCCTTCATTTGTTATAGCGCTTAACATTAGCAACAGGTGGATGTAATTTTTAAAGAAAAAGGACACCCAATTGATTTCCAGCACCCTTTTTTTCCTAGTGTGTAGATGGATCTTAATGCTGTTACAACTTGATTGGTTATTTTGGAGAAAACAAGATCTCATGAAGTCCATCTCTTCTGACTTGATAAGATGATACAGGACTCCTTCATTTGTGTCTACAAAAATTATCCACTTAAAAGAGAAGCTTCAGTGAAGGCTGCTTCTTCCTGTGTTACAGTGAAGCAGCTGAAATGTAAATGAAGAGCATACCTGGAACACACTCAGAATGTTGCTCTCGGATCTGATGTAACACTGAGGAGGCCTGAGCTTGACCTTGTACTAATGTACTGTGCTTCTGATCAGCCAGCGCACCACTGATTACTGCACCCAAATTGCTATTTGCAAGGCTTTTTCTCTATCTCAGGGAACAAACGAAGGGCTCCAGAAACAGCTTTCCAAACAAACGATGCCAAACGCACATCATTCACCGTCTAAGCAGTTGGGTTTGGGGTGGGGTGGAATGTACTCACTTCATCTAGTCCTTGGGGCTTCGTAGCAATAAACATTGATTTGATATGAAAAAACAGCTATGTATTGTAGTTAACAGTGTTAAGGATATTTCACCTGTTAGAAGGAGGAAAAAGCGACAAAATACGAGCTCCAGGGGTCTGTTGCGAGCAGAACCATGGTATGTGAATGGGTTTATTCCATCAAACACGGCTCTCCCTGGATCTGGGGGGCACGCAGGTGTGGTATTGCTGCAAAAGCATCACACGATGTCCCAGCCGGTGCTCTTTCTCCTCCCATGCCAGTTGTTTAAAACACTGACAGCCATAGGAAGGATTGTAGCAGTGCCACAAACGTTGCTGTTGCTCGTACTTAAAAACAAAAGGGCAGACACATGCTCCCACTCGGAGGTGGCCGTTTTCACGGTGTCCCCCTCTCCCCACAGCCCCTCAGTACCGAGCCCCCTTCACAGTGGACAGCAACCTGACAACGGTGTGTGTCGACTGGAGCAGCTCCTTCCTCCTGCACGGCCCGCTGAAGGAGTTCGTGCTGACCGACGGGAGCCAGCGCCTGTACCGGGGCCTGGACACCGCCCTTCACCTCCCAAGGACAGTGGACAGAAGTGAGTCTCTGAGGTCAAGGTGCTCAGTTCCCCAGCTTCCCAAAATGGTCACCCTGCGTGGTGGCCAGTGGAGGCTCACTGTGAAAATGTCTCGTGGAAAAGCTACTGCTCGGAGCAAATGCAATTTTCCCTCCTTTTTGCCGCCTGGCCTGTGGATGGCGCAATGCGGGGGAGGGCTGCCCCTGCCTGACTTGGGTGTCCCCTCGCAGGAACCAGACTGGAGGGTAGGGCGGGTTCACAGGGGAAGCTGCTCCCAGAGGCAGGAGGGGGAGAGTCCTCAGATAGTGCATGTTCAGGGACCTGGAGATTTTCTGGATGCGGCACCCAGAAAATCTCTTCAAGTGCAGCTCCATCAGGCAGTGACCACCTCCGACCTGAAGGCCCCTGAAAAAGGGCTTTTCAGAACCAGCCTGGGTGTCTGGCCCTGAAATAATGACCCTTTTCCCTCTGAAACCGAATTCCTTCTCCCTATTTAATTCTGTGTTCTACCTCAGCTTTGTCTGGTTTTCCCACTGAAATGAGAAAAGGCTTCATGAGGCATTAAGTATTTTTGAATGATCTGTGTGGCACAGGACCAACATGTGAAGCTGTTTTAAGCAATCTGGATTTATACAGGGAATGAATTAGTGTTTTTCTATTTTTTATTTTCTTGAAAATGCTATTTATTTTGGCTACAAGCACAGATAAACAGCTCTGGCAGTGCATTTATGGTATTTAAATGCTGCCGATGCCATTTTCAAGGCAGTCAAGCTACACATCTTTGTGGTCATAGTTCTCGGTCACCTGGGCAGCTGGTTGTGGCAGGAAGCTGGCCTTGCACCTCTCACTTCCCTCAGGTTCCTGGCTATTGAAATCAGTATCTAGCTCATTTGATTTCCACGATCCTTTCTGGGTGCCCCTGCTTAGTAAGAAACAGGGTCACTGAGTCAGAGGTCACTGTAAATTTTAAAGGAACAGGTGTAGCCCATATGCAGAACAAGGTCCACTCTGTGTATCATCCTTTCTCCTCTGAGAATTCTTCAACTTTGCTATATAAGCTCTAAGCTTCTTTAATTTAGAAGCTTAACTAAATTATATATGTGTGTGTGTATATATATATATGTCATTAGTACACTAATTATAGACACTTTTCTTGGTAATCATGAAATTAGAAACAAGGTTGCATATTAGGCAGAACCTCACATTTTGCCCTGGAAACCTGTTGTCAGACTTTTTCATGCTGTGATACCCTGTCCTTCTGAAAGTGTGCCCGCCATGCAGGGTGTTGTGCGGTGAGCCACTGACCTTCTGTGCAGCCTTCTTCTTCCAGGTCACATGCACCACGGAGGAAGGGAGCGTGAAGACGCCGCTCATCCGGTACGACACCGCTACTGGACTGGGTAAACATCTCCCTCACGTTGTGCTTCCTCTGGCGCCTCTTGGTCCTCGAGAAACATGCGTTTGCGTATACAGGCTCGTGCTAATGGACCAGCACTGACTGTTGGGAGGAATCGTGTGGTGTTGTGTTGTGGACAATTTTCAAAAGCCCTCGTAGAACCGACCTTAGGCAAGGAGTTAGGGCAGACTGTGAAAATGCCAAATGATTGACGTGTGGGAACAGAGAGAGAGGACTGAACTCTCCCAGGCACAGATTCTGTCAGTCAAGAGCCATACGGAACACTTTGTTCCCCCTAAAATGCTTTTTTAGGAGGAAGAGAAAGATCAGATAGAGAGAAAAAAATGCTGTAAATGCCGATTCGTGTTGATCGTAACAATATTATTTCAGGTTCAGAGCCTAAAACAGGGAATTTGGGAAACGTCTGCCTTGTATCCTCCATAAAAGATTACGACCAACCATTCACACCGAGTAGTGTAGCCAAGGAGACGAGGCTGTAATTTTTACAGAGCTGCTTTTAAACTGAATTCTACCCACCGTCTTTGACTCTAATATCTGCAAAACTGACTATTTCAAAGGGCATGTTAGAAAACTACCCAAAAAATTTTTTGAGAGCACAGTGGGGAATGATACCTTATTTTAAATCCCAGTTAGGAATGTTATACAAATTCGTACGCATAGATAGTTGGGAACATGGTTTTAAATAAACATGTCCAGAAATTCTGAAACACAGGTGAACATACATATTGTTATCAAGGATAGCTTCAATCTGTAGGATAATAAAATTAGGTTATAGTTCCAGACTTTTCCTGTCCGGATGCCACGTACAACTTGGTATCTCACAGCACCTCACGTAACCCCTCCCCCCCACACACACACATGGCAGAGTCTACTGCACTGTACTTAGTCGCAGCGCGGACTTCATCTGATACTCTCTTAAGAGACCCCAGCATCTGCATAAGCAGACAGGTAGAGGCCTGAGGGGCGCCGGAACCCCCCCAGGAATGTCCCGCGGAACTTACGCAGGGTTTGGTTTTTCTGTTGGATCCTGGCCTAGACTTTGTTTTTTAAGCAATGATTCTCAAGTTCAGGTGTGCACGGGATCCCCTCAGTGTGCTTGTCTGTTCCACGGTTTCCCAGCCCCCAGGCACAGAGGCAGGGCCAGCAGGGCCTGGCCTTTAAAAAAGTCCACGATCCTCACACAGGGGACCTGGACCTCAGGTTGGGCAAAGGGCAAAAGACTCCACTGATGGGTGGAGTCTTCTATTTGTATTTCTTTTTTTATTATTGATTTTAGAGGGAGAGAGAGAGAGAGAACCCTCGATTTGTTGTTGCACTTATTTATGCACTCGGTTGATTGATTCTCGTATGTGTCCTGAGCGGGGATCAAACTCACACCCTTGCCATATTGAGGCAACGCTCTAACCAGCTGAGCTACCCAGCCAGGGCAAGGATGGAGTCCTTCAAAAACGAAAGACGATTTTGAAAACAAGAGTTTCCGTTGATGAGAGACGGAAACACTGAGGACTGTGCAGAGCTACGGGAAAGTCCACAGTGGAGCGTCCAGATAATATTCAGAGTCGGTTTTAATTTTTCTGATAATGACTTTTCCGACGTCCCCCTTCTCTTGCCCGGAGGCAGCCTCCAAGCGGGAAGGACAGGCGAGGCTCACTCCCCTCCTGCTGTGTGGAGAGCTGGCTCCTTCCTGGGGCTTCCCTCAGGCAGCCGCCCTGCATTCCCGGGTGACGGTTCAGGCAAGGGGCCCGCTGGGTCCATCACACTGGCTTCTGGAGTTACAGGCGGGGCTACAGACACAGGGAACTCACCTCCTCCAGGGCACACCCCAGGTGGTGGTTTGGGGTTGACCACACAACGCGAGTTGGTTCCCCATCCAGGGCCCGCTCCCCTGCGGGGGGTCGGGCAGAGCTCCGACCTCAACCTCCAATTCTGCGGTGGGGAGCAGAGACCCAGAGGGGCAAAGCGACATTTTTTAATCCTCAACCGAGGATATCAGAGGAAATGTGTTTTGGTTTTTATTTTTTTAATTTTATCTTAGAGAAAGGGCTAGAGAGAGAGAAACACGGATGTGAGAGAGAAACAATGATTGGTTGCTTCCCATGCACGCCCTAACCAAGGATTGAACCCACAACCTTTTGGTATACAGGACAGTGCTCCCACCAGCTGTCACCTGGCCAGGCGACTTTGTTAACCTCACGGCCATTCTAAGTAGACTTCAAGTGGACAGAGTCGTATCCCTGCTGTCAGGAGGTCCCGATTTCAGTTCCCACCACCTTCCCTCCCCCTTCAACATTCTCCCCGCAGTTCGAATGCTACCCTTTCACTGTCCACTGAGAATGTGGGTGTGGTGTGCCCAGCTGCCTGCCCAGTGGCTGAGGTGCTAAAAGGGGGGTGTTTGTCCAAAGCATTGCACCTGTGTCTCTTTGTCCCTCCTCCTCTTAAAGGGACAGCACTCACCCCATCCAGGGCCCCCCACCCCCACCCCACGAGGGACCCCTGCAGGCCTTTCTGCCGGGCTCACGCCTCCTGTCCCCGCGGCCACAGTGGTGATGACCCTGCCACCCACTTCTGTGGCCCCGTAAAGCCCTCCCTGCCAGGGCCTGGCCCAGGGTCAGTGCTCGTTAACCAGGAGCTGCATCGAGAGGCCTCCTGTGCAGTCACATCACGTGACCTCTCAACACGTGAACAGAAATCAAGGGCAAGTCTGGGGGCTGCAGCCTTTCCCCCCATGGACGGTCGTCCCAGGGCCCTGGGCTGATGACTCCCAGAGCCTGTGCTATTCAGCCTGAGGCCTGGGCACAAGGACCGTCCAGACTGAGTGCTGGCAGGCAAGCAAGCACGGGTCTGATGTCCCCAAGCCAGTCTGATGTCCCCAGGCCATGTCCCACAAATCTTCCGAGGCATGGGGCTGTCGCAGAAAGCGAGGGGCCCCCAGATGCCACAGCCCTGTCTCAGTCCTCAGTGGGATCCTTGTGGCAGTATTATTATAATACCACATTGAAGCTGGCCTTCCTCAAGGTTACTTCCGTGACCCCCTAAAAGTCCGCTCACCCCTTCCTGCTGTCTGTCCCCGAAACATGCCAAAGCAGCAGTGATTTGCAGCTGCTGTGTGTCAGCCAGGTCTCCGGGGGCTGTGAGCTCTCCTTTCAATCCCCCAACGCACAGTCGCCTCCCCCTGCCTGAACACAGGCACAGACGAGCAGCACCCTGTGACCCACTGTGTGCAGCCACAGGGCAACCACAGGGCTGCCTTCTGGAGTGACCTTGCCCCTCTGTGCCCCTGGATTCGGCAGGCCTGGTACTGACCACGCCGGGAGGGAAGACGGGGCCCGGGAGCAGCGGCGTGGAGTTCTACAGCGAGCTGTGGTTCATCGTGCTCATGGCGGTCCTCGGCCTGATCCTGCTGGCCATCTTTCTGTCCCTGATCCTGCAGCGAAGGGTCCACAAGGAGCCCTATATCAGAGAGAGACCTCCCTTAGTGCCTGTTCAGAAGAGGATGTCCCCACTGAGTGTCTACCCACCGAGGGAGACCCACATGGTATGTCTCTAAAAGTGGGCCGGGGGGTGCATTTCCTACCATGAGGCTAATTCTAGAACATTCTTGACTTTGGCTATGCCTTAGAATCACCTGGTGTTATAGACTGAATGCCCTCCACTCCCCCCCTGCTGCCCCCACTCCAAATTTCCACATTAAATTCTAATCCGCAGTATGAAGGTTTTGAGAGGTGGGGCCTTTGGAAGCGAAGGTCATCAGGGGTCCACCGTCAGGAACGGGCTTTCCTGCTCGAAAGGCCACAGAAGAACAGCCCCCATCGATGAGCCAGGGAGCAGGGCCCCCAGGCCCTGGGTCCCCCAGCACCTTGAGGTTGGACTTCCAACCTCCAGAACTTAAGAAGTCAGTTTCTGTGGTTCGTAAGGCAAGTCTATGGTGTTTTGTTACTAACACATGTGGGCAACTCTGAAAAATGCCACTGCCTGGGTCTAATCCCCGAAGTTCTGATTTCACCCATCTGGGGAGGAACTTGGGGATTTGCATCCTGTTTTTTAACTCCCAAAAGTGATTCCAGTGTGCACCCCAGCAGGAGTATTTCTGCTCTATATTGCACCGCAGGGGACTGAAGTCCCCTGGGCAACTTACAGGTTGTGCAGCTCTGCAGCTTGGGGGGATTAGTAATGACGGGGAGACAGGGAGGGACTGACCTCCTAGCTGTGCCTGGTTCATCCCCTGGCCCCGGGTCCCCAGGGTGGATGGCTCCTTGTAGCTCCTGTGCACCCACACCCAGGACAAGAGGTCGGGCCAAGGTATGAGGGCAAGGGTCTCCCAAATGGTGCTTCGGGGGATCGTTGCACAGAGCAATCAACAGGGAGGTTAAAGGTGACTGACTCAGAAGGTGCATTCGGGTGTGGGGTGCACCCCACTGTGGGAAGACAGTTTGTAATTTCTAACCCTTCCCCCAGCATGAGATTGCTCCCCAAGATGTGTGCCCAAAGGCTGGCACCTGCCTGAGGGCCACTTTTCCCCAGTTGACACTGAGGTTCTATGTGAGCACGTGGCACCTGGAGGCTAAAACTCTGACCCCCGGTCCCCACGTGGGCACAGGTTTTCCCAGCGAGCAATTCCCTGATACCAACTGTCCTGCAATTCAACTTAGTTCTGCCAGTTTACCTGGAGAGAGTGACAGATCCTTCAAGTGAAGGGCTCAGTCCTGCAAGACCGTCCCCCTCATCCAATGACCTCCTCCCTCCCTGGGTGTGATTAATTTGCTGGAGCAGCTCACAGATCTCAGAGAAACACCGGATCACTGGTTTTTTATTATGCAAGGATGTCACTCCGGAACAGCCAGCTGGGAGAGAAGCACAGGGCGGGGTCTGCGGGAAGGGCGTGAAGCTCCCACGCCCTCCCAGGTAATGCCCCTCTCCCTGGACCTTCGGGTGCTCATGGACCCAGCTCTCCAAACCTGTGCTACTGCGTTTCTATAAAGGCTTCATTGCAGGGGCGGTCGATGAAGTCATTGGCTGTTGGCCACTGACTCAGCTGCAGCCAGGTCAGGGGGGAGGGACCAGAAGTCCCAACTCTCTCCTCCAGTGGTGGGTCCTACTGGCCACCAGCCCCTCCTTAGGTGAGGCCCCAAAGCCACCAAAGTAACATAACAAAAGACAGAATTGTGGCTCTCATCACTTTGGAAATTCCAAGGATTTTAGAAGCTTTGTGCCAGAAATGGGGACAAAGACCACACCGTATTTCTTAAGTCACAATATCACAGCAGCGGCAAAGTTGCACACAGATGTGTCTGGTCAAACTGCTTGTTTTAACACTTGAAAAAATGGACATGAGTGAATGGCAGCTTCACCCGCCTCCCAGGCCCCTCCCATGTTTCTGACATGGCTCCGAGCAGTGGGTGAGCCCTGGACGGGGCTGTCACGCCCAGATGGCAGGCAGGTTGGGGACAGGGAAGGGCAGCAGTCTCTCTGAGCCCCGTGGTCCGTACCCGTGCGTCTCAGGGTAGTGCTGAAGGGTGAGTGTGTGACGCCATCACTGGGCAAACACCGAGCTTCAACATGTCCGTACACTGACCCATGTCTCCCCGTTTGTCCTCAGTTTGACTCTGTGGCTGACGTGTCCGACGTGTCCAGTAATGTCACCCTGAAGAGCTACACCATGCACTTCGAGGTGGCTCTGCATGCTGAGTGACCGCATGGCCTGCTGCATGGCGTGTGTCTTGCGCAGTGTAAAGCAGGGACGCCTGGTGGATTGGACCGGCCGCGGCAGGGCACCCTGATGTTCCGCTGCAGCTAGACTTTTCATCCCAGGTCCTAGTCAGACTCCAGGACCTGATCAGAGTGCCTTTGGGTTCCAGATGTTAGACCTGACTTACTTTGGAGGCTGGATTCTATAACAAGGGGACAGATGTGGAATGAGAGAAAAAGGAGAGAATGTTCGAGTGTCAGACACGCTCAGTGGGAACCAGGGGAGAGAACACAGCTAACTGGCCACGCTGGGCGAGCAGTGTCCTTGAGAGGGGCTCTGGGTCAGAAGGCGGTCTTCTGGCAGCCCACCACTGCGGTGCGGCCAGCCCTGTGAACCGGGAGCATCTGAGGTTAGAACCTGTGCTGTCCAGGTGCTCAGAACACCAGCAGGCCACCCAGTGTGACTGTTAGTTTATCATCTCATCTCTGCCAGGAAACAGGGGCCCAGTTGAGTGCGATAGGAGGCAGTGGACACAGTGTTCCCTTCATTGACAAGGTGTGACACACTCTTCTGTTTCAAACCCCCGCTTCTTTAGCCACTAATGACCAGCAGCGACTTTCTCTGCAGGGGATGGCAGATACCAAGATCCCAGGGGCTGGGGCGCGCGTGAGCGTCAGGAGCAACCGGAGCATCTCTGTCCTTCGCATCCCAAGTCAGAGCCAACTCAGCCGCGCCTACTCCCACAGCTCTCTGCACCGCAGCGTCAGCCAGCTCATGGACATTCAGGACAAGAAAGTCTTGGCTGACGACTCGCTGTGGGAAACCATCATGGGCCACGACAGCGGACTGGTGAGTGGATTTTTTCCCCCAGAGCCTTCGCTAAACACCCCCAGAGGGGGCGTGGAGCCTCATGGACCCGACGGAGGCTGCCCACAGCCCAGGTGCGCCCCTCCAACCACTTACCTAGGGTGGCTGTGATTGACAAGCTAGGTAGAGTTGTCGTCTTGTTTTTCTAGCACGCAGTAGAGCTCAAAAACTAAACGCATGAGTAAGTGAAGGGACATCCTTGGGCAGAAGAGGAACATCACTGGCCTAAAACAAGGCACGGAGGACAAGCACACGCTTTACTGCGCAGCACCCTCTTTTTTCCTTCTGGGCTGTGGTTAGAGAAAAGGAGTCTCGGAATGGGCTCAGTGGCTCCTGTCCTAGTAACTTGGGAAGTCATGTGGGTGCTCCCATCTAGGGGAGTTCCTGTCCATCTTTCTCAGGCTCAGTCCAGTGGGCACAAATAACTGACTGAGGAGGAACCTCATCATTGTCTGCCTTGTTCAGAGGGATGTTATGCCTTTTTAAGTCACGGGCCTTCTCGACGTTATTGTGACCATTGAATCCCAAGATTCCATCCCCGAGCTGAAGTTTCTAAACAGCAGGAGTCACTAGTCCACACAGAGTTGTTAGCTGATTGTACTGAATGAAAAGCCAAAGAGCAGTTTCGCACTGAAGGTTTAGCTGCGTGTCCTCACCCCAAAACACAAGCTGGTCACTGTTTTGTGGAGCTGGGACCTTAGCAACGTCTGGTTATTACCGTGACACCGGATGGTGTGGGCACCTGCTTTCGACGGTACCAGTGAGAGGCAGGGTGCACAGCAACGCATGCCTGCTCCCGAAGGGCCAATACTAGGTAAATCGTGCCTAATAATTAGTGTTCCTAAACCTGGTTGGTAAACACAAATGCAGTGAGGGGGGGAGCAATGGAGCAGAGAGCTCACATTCTGGTTCTTCCACTTGCCTTTTGAACTAAATCTTAAATATACATAGTCTACTTTTTGCAAACCAGAAAGCCGAGGCTTCTGCAATCAGAAGGATGCAGGTATGGCAGATTGCAGACCTCAGATGGCGTGCGTTTTGGACGTGACTGCAGTGCAGGCGTGCATGTGGGGTGGTCTCTTCACTGTGGGGAATTTCAGGGGCCTCCGACCACCCTGTCCAGGGCTGAGCTGGGGCCAGGGCCTGGGAGAAACTAGTGCTGTCCTGACCCGGCCTCCTGGTGGTTTCAGTTTGTGGACGAAGAGGACCTGATGAACGCCATCAAGGGCTTCAGCTCGGTGACGAAGGAGCACACCACATTCACCGACACCCACCTGTAGCGCACTGAAACCTTCAAAACGTGAGTGAGACGGGGAGGCGGGCCGACCTGACACAGCCTGAGTGCTCAAAGCTATTGCTTGTTCTTCTGCTTGTTCTTCTGTGATCCTTTAAGGAAAAGAGAACTGTGTTTGACCTTGCTCCTCCCCAGTAGAGGTCTAAGAAATGTTTTTCTGGTTGTCTGAAATGAAGGGTCCCATCCCTACGAAAATATTTTTGGGGTAAGCTAAAACCACAGGCATTTTTCACCCGGCTCTGCCTGACCGCGAGGACATTGGTTACATGAATAACCGGCACTTTCCAACGGGCCCACGTTGGTGGAAGGGAGTAGCTTTAAGTTGCATTGACTCAGGGCTCGTCACCACTGCTTCCGTCCACCTCCTTTGTCCGTGAGGTCAGCAGGGCCCCGTAAGGGACAGTACCCAGCCACAGGGCAAGCTGAGTCAGAGAGGGGCAGCCTGGCACTGCGGGGGCACCCTGGGCAGAGAAGTTCACTTAGTCACGGCGTTTCCAGCTACTCTCCACACCTTTTGTTAGCAAATCACATACAAATAAATGTCTTTCTAACGGCTGAGGACTCTGGGAAAAGGCTGGGTAAGTACTCGATGTTTCAATTTAATTTTCTTACTTGCCCACCCAACTTTTACGTGAAGAAAGACACAACAGAAAATTCTAACTCTTGGTAACACTGAATGTGTGCTTTCCCCGCTGTTCTCCCCGACACCCCACAGACAAGGTGAGTGCGTGCACACATACGTGTGAATTCCCCCCTCCCCTCCCTGCCTTCACTGTGGGAAGAGGCAAAAACCTCATGTGGGTGTGCTTTAAACAGATACTGTTCCTAAGATAAGAGAAGACACATAGTCTTAATCATTTTTATTTGACTTAATGAATATATAAATACAAGAGAATGGCTGTGAAACCACTGGTAAAATGGTAAACTTTGAAGCATTTATTCCAACTTCAACTCATTGTATTTCTTAAAATGGGGATATATACATTTTTCACCAATAAATGCTTAATGCTTAAAATTTACAATTACCCTATTTGTGGAAACTTGAAAACCTCTCTGAATCTTGAAAATCATTCCAATTAAGTGAGAAAAAAAAACCCTAAAAAACAAACAAAAAAAATCTTTTATTCTTACAATTTAAAATATATTCAAAACAATTATTTTTACAGCAGCCAAAAACCTCTAACCCCAAATTCAGAACTGCAGTCTCATGAGTGTAACAAAGTGGCCACATTCTAATTTCAGTATCAACAGAGGACACACGCCGTGGCCCCTAACACAGAGCAGACCAGCAGCTGGTAGAGTGTTCCCTTCTGGGCACTCATAGCTTTGACCCTGATGAGTATTATTTTTATTTTATATGCTCAAACACACACAACTGCTCCAACTTCAAAGGCAGTTTAAATGGACACTGGGCATTTAGCATTCGTGAAGCCTGCCAAGACGTGAGGCTTCCGAGGACGAGAACCAGACGATGACCTGCAGTTACAACCACCTTCAGGGACGTGCGCCACCATCCGGTCTGCTACTCGAAGACATCAATAGTGTTTCTGAGAGACATGGTAGTTCGTCACACACATAGCACCTCATTAAACATCAGGTAAACACTTTGCAATCACAATAAGGGTCGGGAGACTCAGCTCCAAAGAGAATTATGTGATTCGCTTAAGATAACCTTGCAAGACGTGCCTCAGGCACGATGGAGGGAAGGAGTGCGCCCCGCAGGCTCCCAGTGGGCGCTGCCCGTTAAGCAGGGAGCTTACGACACCTCTCCCCACAGTCCCCGGAGAAAGTGCACCTGGAAATGGACCCCTGTTTTACAAATCACCAGTTAAACGTACTTGTAAACCTTTAAAAAAGAAAGCAAACTTCAAAAACGGACAAAAGAGGTTTTGATCTCCCTACTCCAGATAATTCTGTAAAAAAGATAACAGATGAAGTCCAACTTTAATTTGAGAAGTTTGGGTGTAAAGCTGAAGCACTTGAACGCGTTGCGCCTCCTTAGTCAGCGCCTGCCGTGCCCCCACCGAGCACGTTCTGTCTGTCTGCGCCCTGGGGCTCAGCTTTACCTCTGTGGGAAGTCCACGCGGGATGGACAGTGTTGTCTAAGATACTTAACACCTATACTAATTAAAAAGCACATATTTTAAAAAAAACAGCCCTGGCTGGTGGTTCAGTGGCTGGAGCATCATCCCATACACGGGAGGGTTGGGGGTTCGAGCCCCAGCTGGGGTGGCATGTATGGGGGTAACTGGTCAACGCTTCTCTCCCTCTTCCCCCTCGTAAATCAATGTACATATTTAGAAGGAAGAAAGAAAAAAAAACTACTCGTTTCGGTGAGCGTTCACAAGCTATACTCTTGGCCCGAGGAGTCACTTTTCTTATGGCGCGGGGACGGTGTGGTCTTGGTAGGAGAGGGCGAGGCGGTGCCGGGGGAGTCGGTGCCGCCGTCGGAGGTACTGGGGGACGAGGCCAGGTGGGGCACCTTCTTCCTTCCCAGGAAGCCCCCTCCCTCAAATCCCCCTTTCCTCCTTAACTCCACTCTGCTGTCATTTTCATCTTCCGACGACCTTTTCTTGGGTTCTAGGAAGGCATCGGCCACTTTATGCCCTTCCAACCCGCTCTCGGACTCTCTCCCGCCTTTTGTTTCTGCGCCCGGAGACTTCCTCTCGGTCACGGCACATTCCCCCGCCGTGCACTTGACCTCAGCGTGTCCGGGGCCCGAGTTGGCATTTTCAGGGACAGCCCGTTCTCTGTCTCTGTTGAGGTTGAGCGTCTGAAAGTCCCGGTAGCTGTGGAAGCTCTCGGTCCTCCTGGCCCTGGCCAGCAGGGGGCTCTCCCGGTAAGGCCTCAGGGAGCCGTAAGTGGCCGCGTCACGGACGGTCTCCTGGTGCTGCAGCTGAAGGCTGGAAGGGTTTCAAAGTTGCAGTTGAGATGGGTCTGAAAACTTTGAGGGGCACGTCTCGTTAACTAACCACCAGTAGGAACACTCGGCACACGGAAGTACTTTCTGCATCACACGCACGTGTGTGTAAAACTGTCACTGCAAACACAGGCACTCGGTCAAGCGGGGTTTGCTTCAGCTGCAGTTGGCATATAGTAAACTAAGATAGAGCATCATCTTAGTTTGGCAAACGAAGGTATGCCAAAGTAAGATACGGTATCACCTCAGTTTCAGGTGTATAGCCGGCACTTAGAAATTTCTGTAACTTACGAAGTGATTTCTGGTGAGTCTACTAACCACCTGCTACTGTAAGGTCACTGCAGCATCGCTGGTCATATTCCCTATGTTGTCCTTTAATATTTAACTAGAAACATACACCCCGTCACTGCCTTAGAAGTGCACACTGCACACACACCCCGCGTCATTCTGCTGGGGGTGCGGTGTGGATGTCGGTTACAATTCAGTAGACCAAACGGTAAACGCACCATGCACAAGGGCTGGGCAGGACAGGGCATTCACATGCCCTTTGAAGGAGTTCTAGATCACGGACCAGGCTCCCCAAGTAGCAGAAATTCACAAAACAAGGTATAGGGTAAAAAGAACCAGAAGCATGCAGTGGAGAGATTCAGAGTTATTTTTTCCGACTGAGTAGCACAGAAGGTCTGCATTTAAAGTGCAGTCAGGAAAACCTGGCCCCTAAGGACAGCCGCCTTGCAAGCCCGGCCTACCTGGAGCTGGACTCCCGCAGGCGGCTGGGCTGCACCACGGAGGTCGCGGGGCTGATGCTGGGGGTGGCGCAGCGCGAGGTGCTCAGGTCGCACTGGTCCAGCAGCTTCAGCAGCTCCTCCTCCGTCGGGCCCCCTGCGTCTGGGGAGAACATCCGCACCCGTGACCAGGTAACCCCCACGTGCCCCCGACGTGCCCCGTGCGGCGCCTCCCCCAACACCTACCCCTGTCTTCAGTCCTGTTGACCATGTCCATGGCCGTGGTCAGGTCCCACATCTGGATGCTGCCGTTCGTGTGGCCCGTGAACAGGTAGCGCCGGGGCCGAGAGCCCATCCTGCTGGAGCCCTCGCACTCCCGCACCGTGAACGCGGAGATGGTGGTGCAGTCCACTGCCTGGATCTCGCAGATTCTGCAACGAGCCGCACAGCGGTGTGGGAACGAGTAACACTGTTACTGAGACTTTACTGAGTTTTAGAGACGGGAAGGGAGGGAGGAAGAGGGAGCGAAATACCAAATGCACGAGAGATCCAACAATCGGCTGCCTCTCACTTGCCCCCAGCTGGGGATCTGGCCCACAGTCCAGGCCTGTGCCCCGACTGGGAGCAGAACCAGCACTCACAGGCCTGTGCTCAATCCACTGTGCCACACAGCCAGGGCTGTGACCGAGATTTTTAAAGTTAATTATTTGCAAAATGAGAGTTGAATACTGTATGTGTGTAAAACAGATTTAAAGGGGTCAAGACAAGTCAACAGGAATCAAAGTCAAACTTTGTTTCTTTGAGTCCAGAGAAAAGGCTCATAAAATAATGTGTCCAGTAATTAAAATCAGGCAAAGTTTAAGTCGGGCTTGAAAGAGCTTTGGTAGGAAGTGGGCCGTTCTTTCAAAAGAAGTTAGACAGAAAGAAACAAAGTAAGCAGATATCATGCTAGAAAAGATCTTGAGAAGCCCTTTAAAATCGACAAAACCTTGAAACCCAAAAGAATGTGTATCTGTACGGAGGAGACACCTGACCAGCGTCCTCCGCCGGGGTGACACCCTCCACTCCCCAGAACCCGAGCACCCTCAAACAGCTTCTGCTGGCTTCCTAAGGGGCTGACTGTCTGCTTCACTCTACAAACTGATTTCTGCTTATCGTTTCTATAAATACAGCCTCCCTCGCCACCCCCCCACCCCGCACCATGGAGTCAGAAGTCCCACAGTGCTCTCTCCTGCAGAAACTGCAGGGGGGAGGAGTGTTTGAGAGCCAAGTGCTCTTTGAGGTGGGTTTTCTGAGACCATGGGGGCTTTTCCTGGAAGGGGTCCAAGTGCTCTCTCCTGCAGAAACTGCAGGTGGTGACTCACTGTGCTGTCTGGGCCACAGTGAGGAGGAGGTCAGAATGGGACAAGGACACGAAATACTGGTTGTCAGGTGATGTTACGATGGCAGCTTTAGTCAACGTTGGGCAGCTGCCTCACCAAAAGTGCAGACAACACTACATCATGGTGGTTTACAACATTTCTCAAGATAATAATTCGGCCTCTAACTACATTGTATTAAATGTAGAAATTTTACTTTTTGACAAGCAACGTTTTTTGTTTTAAAAATGTTATAGCTCCCTGTGTTCGAGGCTATAAATAAATTTTTAAAAAGTAAAATTTCAGTCATATGGAAAAAAGGGAACTCACCCCTACTCAGCACCTACTGTAGTCGGGGACCGTGCAGGACAGAACACATGCTTTCACCTCACTTAGTCCCACGACATCCTACCCAGGTCGCCGAACCTTATTTCACAAAGAAACAGGGGCTCCGAGCAACAAAGTAACTGGAGCTGAGAACGGTGCACAGCTGGTGAGAGTTAGAGGTTAGCTCGGCTGCCCGCCATCACGTCCTCACGAGCCCCTCCTGGCCGTCTGTCCGCAGCGGCACAGAATCCTAAACACGCCCTGCAGAATCAGCACGACCCACACCATCCCGGTGCCGAGTTCAAGCAATCACGGGACCACGAGCCGACCTCTCCCCCAACAGTTTGCTTCTGGCAGCCACTCATCGATGTGGCAGATCACTCAGAACTGTGTGTTCCAAGAGGCACAGGGGCTGCTGCACGAGCATCCGAGCAGCAGCGAGTTACCTTTTCCCGGTGGAAGAGAGCCTCACGAACAGCTTGTTAGTGATGGGGACGACTTTCTGGATGAACACCTGCTGGTCATCCCGCTCTCCGAAAGGCCCTTGGTCAGAAAACAGAAAATGGCAAGAGAAGTTGATTACAATTTAAATGGTCTCATTAATTAAAAAAAATTATTACTATTGAAAAAGAAAAGGCCTTTTCATGCCTGTTAATGTTCGCTGCATTCCTAGCGAACCGGACAAACACAGTGATACTGGTACTTCATTTGGCGTTAAAATTTTTTAAAAGAAATACCTATTGCAAAACTATATTTTTTGCACGAAGGCTTTTAAAGCTGAAAGCAAAATAATATGCTTAGGTTACACATTATCAAGACCAGAAGGAAACCTGTTAAAACACAAGCTCTACTTACTATCTTTGAGGATGCACTCAATTCCTTTTAACTTCAAAAAAGGGAGATATAAATGAAGTTACTTTTATGTGTTAATTTTCCTTTTGAAAAGACAATATGCAAAATCTAAAAAAATAAAGTGCAACTTTATTGAACAGAATTTAATTACTCAGAAGCCTGTTGCATTCTACAAAGTTTTCAATCGAAAAAAGATTCAATTATTTTTACTTTATGGTACTTGGCAAGGCAGGTAATTGGCTCACCCCTTTTAGGAAGATTCTGAACAATATAAAATGTTTTCCTATAAAACAAATATAAAATTTTAATAACCCCTTTTTCTGTCATATTCAATAGCTAAAATACCAAATTATTATTAACAAAAGATGCGATACACAAGTTCTAAAGACCTGATGTTCCAAGTTATGTGAATCACACCTAATAAACAATGTGTTAATAGTTTACTTTGTGCCACAGTAAATGCTTCTCAGATAACTGAGTTTGGTCGTTACAACCATATGAGGGGGGCACTATTGTTATCTCCATTTTACAGATGAGAAAACTAAGGCCCCAGAGCTGAGTTACCCAAAAGCTCACAGGTCCTACTTGATGGGACCAGAAATGGGACCCAACCTGCCGTGCTCTTCCTGCAGCTACTGGGCCATCCAGTTACTGGACAACCTTCTCAAGTGTGACTCTACTGAAAAGGAATGGCCTCGCTGAGAACCTGTGAACAACGCCAGGACAGTGGTGAGGAGAACAATACCAGGAACGGGGACTCCGGGCCTGGACCCTCGCCGCCCCCCCGCACCTTGTACTCATTCCTCACAGGACTGACTTCCGTGAATTACTCCCACCTCCCTCCTTGCAGTTTCTCCACTCCTCTCCCAGACTGACTCCTTTCCTTCAGAACACAAAGCATCCTCAGCTCTCCCCCATCTTCAGTGGGGTCTAGAAGCAATAAAAAATATGACCTCTGACCTTTCTCGCCTTATCTTTTGCGGTCACCTCCCACAGTCATTGCCGCGTCACCGCTGAAACCGAGTCCGCCCCCACCTCCCCACTGAATGGGACTTCCTGTTCTGTTCCTCCAATCTGTGTCTCTGAGGATATTTTCTAAACTATAAAGAAGGAAATATTCTCCCTGCTTCGTTTGAAGTATGTCACCGGGCTGTTTCTGAGTCTCTTCTCCCGCATCGGACCCCCAACCACCAGGCTCTGCCCTGACTCACACCCGCAACTGAGGGCCTGAACGTGCCCCCGACTTGCCAGGTCCTCCTGGCCCCGTCCCTTCGCCCTGCCGTCCGCCCTGCCAGCAATGCCCCGGACTGGAAGCTCCCACTCCGCACGCCACGTTTCAACAGAAAACCTGGACGTTCGGCCCGAACACCAGTTCCCACGGGTGCCCAGTGGGGATCACGCCTCCCACGTCAGGCCGTCCAGACGCTGCAAGGAGCGCACACAGCCTGCCCGGCACCGTCTCCCCGCGTGCCCTCTGCCTGTGGGCACCGTGTGGGAAACACAACCGTTTGCTTTTTGTTACCACTGCTCACCATACTCTAAGGTGATGTTTATTTTGTTGTTCCTGGATTTCTAATACCTGGACCAAAAGTACTCAGTAATCATCTGTTTACGCTACACCTTAAGCTTACGCAATGTTATATGTCAGTTAAATCTCAATACAGCTGGGAAATGACAAAATGAATCCGTAAGCTCCCAGCGTATCACATAGCAGTGTCAAAATTAACAACACCGAGCATTTTTTTCAGAAGCACTGAGTCTGAGGTGGTGCAATTCTCAGGAGTGGCTTTTTAAAGGTAACTGCTTAACACCTTTGCTGTGGGGGCGAACCATGGGTGGGCACATTTAACTGCTTCATGCCAAACAGTTTCGGTAAAACAATTCTAACGCACTCCTTCCCGTCTTCCGCCAGTGCTCTGATTTCTGATCACACAAAACGATCAGAGAGGTACACCAGCCAGCCAGCTGGTCCTGATGAACTACTGAAGCCCACCGAGGTGCAATGAACACGCCGCGTCAACTCTGCAGCGGGCCCCGGGGAAACACTGTCTCTGCCAGGACTGTGCACACGCACACGTGTGTGTGAAGTGCAGACACAAATCGAGCTGACTACACACACCTTCCCCTGGGCTCAGGGCCCGTATTTCCTCTCGGGTCGGGGGACAGCATCAGCCCTTTAGCAGCTCCAGATTTCATTTCCAGATTGTGAGGAATGGAAGAAAAAAGTTCAAATCTCAAATATGCAATAGCCATCCCAGCTTTTAATTATAAACAAAAATGGTTAGCACCTGAAGGTAATTTTTAAAAGGAGGAATGCTAACAAGAGGAAAAAATTTCACTTTAAAAATAAAAGATGGTATAATTCTATGTGTTTACAGAACTTAAAAGTGCACTAAATTTGTTTTAAATGTGTTTCAAAGCTGAAACTAGAAACTGCATTTAAACCCGGACTTGGGCGTCTACTCTTGCCAGCACACATGGGCGCGGCCCACGCAGCCTGTGCAGACACGCCCCCCGACCCCAGCCGCCTTCCCCGTCATCTCGCTCACCGATGTCGTTCCCGGAGGAGTAGCTGCCGTGACTCTCCGCCTCCTCCAGAGACAGGATCTTGAAGGACGCCAGCGGTGTGGACCCGGGCTGGGTGGAGATCATGCCCCGGAAGCGCGTCACCGTCCAGGTGCGGACGTGGTTGTTGTCCGCACAGACTGGGGGAGGAGAGAGCGCACGAGAGCCGCTAAATGCTGAGGGAAGGGCACCAACAAAATCGCTCTCATAAGCACATTCCAACTTTTCCCTCGGTGACCTCCAGTAAATAGATCAGAGCACACCGTGACTGGCAAATGACATCTTCATCCTAAAATCATAGTTAATTTGTACCTGGCCAATAACAGTAACAGAATATGGTTTTTACCTTGCTGTAAGTATCCAAGGTATGTAAGTAAATCTATGGATTCTTATAAAAGACGGATGTAGAGCCGAACAGGTTAAAAAAAGCATTTGTAAGAGAATACACTGAAGACTACTCTGTTCCATGGTGAAACTACATGGCAAACAAGTTGCCCAGTTTATCTTTTTAAACCACAGAAAACTCCCGCTCATGTTACTCAAATATTGAACAACCCAGACCAGGAGTTACTGAAAATTTATTGTCACAAATGACATGCCGTTTGTCAAAAAGCTATTAGAAACCAGCTGTTTTTTGCTCACTCACAGCTACAGTAAAGAAAATTAAGATTCCATATAAAGTTGAGAGCTATTTTTACAGCACATAAAAGTCTGTATTTAAAAACATACTCCAAAATTAGCTTATTTTTTCACGTAAACAATATTAAGTGGGCATATATTAAGACGTATCTAACAAGTAACCTCTCTCTTTGGTCTGAATACACCACTAAAAAATTGAAACAAAAAATATAATTAATGCAAGACCTGTACTTTGGTGACGTCCCTTAATAAAAAAGTATACTCATTTGACATTGATTATGATTTCAGAAAACGTACTCATCAATATATACCAAGAAAGCACCCAAAATTCACTGTATACCCACAACACTTCCTTTTGGGTAAAATGCCATAGTTGCAAATTTTAAAACAAAACTTGAGAAAGAAATTTAATTTGGGGTAACTGCAACAAAAATTAAAAAATATACAAACGCTACTTAGGTAACAAAATTCTCAGTTCTCACAATGCCAGCTTTCTGGTGAGAAAAAGAAAAGATGTTTAGTTCTAGGCTGTTTATTCAGCTTCATGGGAAATAATATCCTTTACTAGGACTCAGAAAAATAATATGAATACTTTAAAACTTATGGCAGATTTTGTTATGTGATTCAAATGAACACTTACGGCCATCTGTAACTTAGTTGTTATCCAAAGCTTTTACAAACCCACACTACGGGGAAAAGAACGTCGCTGCATGTACGCTGATGTCCACCAGGTGGCAGAATATCGTAGTGGAGCACTGGAGACAAAATACTCCTGTTTTTTTGGCTGAATGGACTTTGTGACTTTACTTGAAGTTCAAAACTACATAAAACGGCTGGTATCAAAATGCAAGTCTGACCGCAGAGTGCTTCAGCAGCACATCCTACACCATCACCATCAAAACACAGCCAGGGCTCCTGAGATTTCCAAGCGCTGTCAGGTAAAAACCATGACACCCTGCAAAACTGTCTTCTCACAAGAGCAAAAGAGCTGATTCTACAGCACTTACTGGACACCTCTTATGTGCGCAGAACCATGCTAAGTGCTGAGAACAGAGTGGAGAACACAATTCTGCTACTGCACATCTTACTCTAGACTGCTACAAGAGGGAAGACAGGTGAGAACAAATAAAGCATCAAGTGGCAAGTCCAAGAAGAAAAACCGAGACACGGACCGAGCAGGTGGCTGAGACTGCCGCGAGGTCGAGACTGAGAGGATCGGCCGGCCCAGCAGGCCGCTCTGAGGAGGCTGGGGTCATGGGCAGTCGGCAGAGACAGGGGAGCAGGGAGAAGACAACACGTGAGAGGCAGGCAGGGTCCACAGCAGGGTGAGCCACAGGGATGTATTTACTTGTTCTATGAACAACAGGAAGCCACTGGGCACGGGGCCTGGTTTGCATTTCTGAAAGATACTTCTGGCTGCATTACTGTGTTACACACCTGTGTGTGCCATTACGGAGAATGTACTGCAGAGCAGGACAGAAGCAGGGAAAGAACTGGAAGCGCAGTAATCCGGGGCAGAAACGATGATGGGCACTGCCGTGTCGGAAGCAGTGGACCTGAAGTGAAGTCAGATTCGTGACAGCACGTAAGTCCTGAAGCAAAGCTGACAGGACTTACTGATATAACAGGACTTCCAAGTCTCATTCCCAGATTTTCAGGTGGAGTAAATGAATAGATGGTGACACGGTGGACAAAGAGGGCAGATCAAAGTACCCCATCTTCTGAGAGACAAATCAAAAGCACCCTTTTGTGCAGCCACAGGCAAAGACGACCCACGTCTGGACTCCGTGGGTGGTCCCAGGTGGAGGGTCACGTCAGGTCACCGGGGAAGGTGCAGAGGAAGAGGGAGAGTCTGGGAAGGAGCGGGAGGCAGTCCCGCACGTGGCGGTGAGCGAAGAGGAGGGACCGGGGGCAGAGTGGGACAGACTCCTCAGGGAGGCTGGTGAGGAAGGAGGGTGAGACAGGAGGGCCCTGCCTCGGGAAAGCCTCGGGAAGGGATGGTTTCCGAAGGGTGTGGCTACACCCCACACAGCTAGACACCCCACAAGCGCACATTCCCCCATCCACGGGGTGTTTCAGCTCCAGCCTTTCATCAAAACTGAAGGGCCAGGAGAGAGATAAACACTTGTATGAAAATGTTTTTAAAAAATCAAGTTAGGCAGGAACTGATCTACAGAAGACAGAAACCCGAACTCTGCTGATCTCAAGCTTCCATTTCTGTAAGGCCTTTTAGAAATCACCCATTGTCAACAGGCTGTTACTTTGTGTCCGTCGCACGTCAGGGACTCAATCATTAAAATTAGATACAGAGTTTGAAGCTTAAAGAAACTAGTATCAACATTAAGAATTAAAGGAACAATAAACAACAATCTATTATCTTCAAATAAGCTCTATAAATTCTACTAGTTTTTAATATTTTTAGATGATCAAATAAAATTATGTCTAAATGTACAACTTTAGCCTTTAACTTCAAGACAATGCTACCAAACTTATATTAAATTTACACTTGGAAATTTTCTGTAACAAAAAGCCTTTCAACAGAATTATGATCAATACTTTGAAATAAAACATGCCATGAGAACAGCATATCAGAACAAAAAGTAAATTTTTAAAAAGCTGTACCTCTTGAATTCGTGTGTACTGCCGCCAGGCAGAACTCAAAGGAACCCTTAAAAGGCCATCGTAACATTGCCGCAGTCACTAGCTTTCCTACCAGTTTCATTGGTGTGTCCTTCCCACAGAAGACACTGCGTGACAGCCTCTCGGTCTGCGGGCACTGGGAACCCGTGGGCTCAGCTCCTCCCCCCCCACCCCCAGAGTGGGACGCTGCTCCTCACCTGACACCAGGTGCTTCTCGGAAAGCATGATCTTGGTGACCGGGCTGCGGTGGACTGTGAAGGTCTGGAAGAGCTGAGGGCCCGACCCCACCGTCTCGGGGTGCTGCACGATCACGCGCACCGCTCCAGAACTCGTACCGTAGGCGATCTCGATCCAGTTCCCGCTGACACCTGCAGCCACAGGAGGAAGGGGCACTCAGGCTGCGGCGGAGGGGCTGCCCTGGTGACACCTGGGATGGAAGGGCGGAGCCGGCCTCGGGGCTGTCAGCTGCAGCCCCTGCTCCTTCGCCCTTCCCTGAGCGGTAGTCCCTGACCAGTCTCAGAATACGTGACCGTGGCACGTGCACGCGCAGACACCCCACGGGGCTGACGTCATGCCTACGCGTCCTGGGGGAGTCACCTGGAGCTCTGTCGTGGAGAGCCCAGGTTCCGCCCTCCTAAAAGCTTCCCATAGAGACCCTCAGCTTTAGCAGCTCTTCTCTCCATCCACCTCCACACACCTGAGCCCCAGGAGAAAGCGCAAGCCCGGAAGGCACTTCTCATAACCCGGGAGGGGGCTCCATTCCCCCCGTGACTGCTGAGGTTTACCCTCCCCTTTAACTTAGAACGGGAGATGAAAACCCCACACACCTCGCTCCAGCCACAGGCAGCGAACCTCTGTAAAGGGCGGCCCAGCACAGGGCCTCACTCCGCCTGTGCCACTGTTTGTTACCGGCACCTGACTCCCTGCCGCCCCACGGAGGCCAGGAGCAGCACAGCACTGGGGCGGAGGGCCTGGCTTGATGATCCCCGTTCTAGCGCGAGGTCCCCGAAATCCCACTGAAGCCCAACCAGAGTCCTCTGCGCACACTAGGATGTTGATTTCACACCAAAGACGAGGACTGCCCTGGAGGAACTCAACAAAATGACTTTGTACCAGTAACACCCAATCTCTTGGTATTACTGTGCATGTTAGTATTTCCTAAGATTCCCGTCATTACTGGTAAGTTTTAAATGTCCCACCTACGTTCATCTTGCCTCCCGGAAAATAAAAATGTTGATAATGATGTAGAACGTGTTGGTTAATTTCACTGCAGTGGCCTTTGAAAGGCAATAAAAGTTACAGACATTGAACTTCCAAGCAAAATGAGTTTCTCCACAACTTAAAGATTTCCCAAGGAAATAATAAGCTTACTTATTAAGTGTTAATCTCTCACTGTCCATGAAAGATTAACAGTCCAAGAGCCCCCTTTTTTTTAAGTTAAAAATAAAAAACTCTTAATTTCAAAAGAAAATCAGCCCCCGTCATGCGAATTAACGGTGCTCGTTATTTTTTTCGATCTCGGTGAACACCGCGAGGATGAAGCTCCCCAACTCAGAGGAGGCGCAGTGGTGCCCTCCCACCTCCAGCCGAGCTGGCTTCCTGGTCACGTGTGACTTCAGTGTGAAACAAACACAGACAAACGGGGACGGAAGCCTTTGACCGCGACGCGCAAACACAAAGAACCGCGTTAGCGCTGGCCCAGTGAACTGCGCGCTCCCAGCACCCCTGCGGGCGTCTGCACTCCTCCTGCGGGCACTGACTTGTTTTGGGTGTGAGGTAGACACTCAGCGCGGTGATGGCGTCATTAGAAGGGTCGTGATAAAGTTCAGTCACGAGCAGATCGTTGTCCTTCATGCGCAAAGGGAACTTCTGCATATCTGCAAAATAAGTGTTTGAGTCGTATTAGAGCAGTGCATTTATTTTAGACTAAAAGAAGGTGATATTCTCGTTGTCATCTGCAAATGCCCCAGGCCTGGGGGGGCACGCCCAGCACCCGCACGCTCACCGATGTAGTAGATGGACCCGTTGTTGCACCCGAGCAGCAGGAAGGACCCGGCCGTGTCGTAGCTGGTGATGGGGACGACGTCTTGGACCTGGTGCAGTGACAGTGTCATCCGATGTCAGTGTTTAATTAATTACAGCTTACATTTTCTGCTCCATTTCCTCAAAACTCTTAATAAAAAGAGCACTAATACCCAGTCTAAGTAGGGCTTAGAAAACAAGACGTTTTACACATACGGTCGTGCACACACACTCCCCACACGAGGAATCTGGAAGAATCATCCTCGGGACTGATTCCCTTTCGAGCTGTTACACACACCTACTTCCGACAGCAGCACCTGCCTGTCAGAGGCTGGATGGACCACGTCTTTCTGCACGTGGTTCGGAGACCACAGTACACCTGAGGGCTGGAAGGCCGCGCCTGACCACTGTGCGTGAGACATTACATGACCTGCTCAAGGTCACCTAGGAAGGAGAGAACCAGAACTGGGACACGAATCAACTGGTTCCCTGAGAGCACTCGCCCCCTCGGCCCTTCACTGCCACGTCTCCGAAGAGATGGCCTCTCCGCTCTCCCTCTCTGCACTGCGGACTTCGCCTCCCTTGCCTAGGAAATGGTGATGAGGCGCGTACGTTCTCACACGCTTTTGTTTTTTCAAGCACTAGAATAAAAAATTCAGTTTCCACGCAAATCAATCTAGTTACAAATTAACAGTTGCCTGTATCTGTGCTAAAAAAGAAGAGCAAAGGGCAGGACTTTGTACAAACGGAAAACAGTGTTTGTGGGAGGAATGGCAATGAGGTCAAAAAGCACCTTCCCACACCCAGCCAGGCCAGCGACCGCGTGGGAAACTCACAGGCCACCTTCACCCGAAGGCTCTGCATGTACGAGATTCAATCCGAGAGAACAGCACCAGACAGGATAAGCATAGAAACTTGTGGGCAAGAAAGAAAAATGAAAGACAAACAGGGGGCAGCGGGCTGTAAAGTCGGGGTGCCGCACCACTGGGGGGCAAGGGGAATTCTCCTCCCGGTCCGAGTGTGGGAGGAGGGCGAAGACAAGGCCGACTTCACAAAGATGTGAAGCCTGAAGACGGGAAAAGCCGTGGAGTCAGGGAGAGGTAGGGGGAAGGCCACGCCTGACAGAACAGCAAGGATAAAAGCACAGAACCCAGGCCCACTCCTGTTAAAAGAAAAACGGTGCAAAGACCTAAACTCAGAAATAATGGTTCCCATAGCCGGAGGCGTAGAGGCCGCTGATCTCCGCACACGCCTTCCAGTGTCACGCACGGTCACGGGCTTGCTAGACGTCTCTCCATGGTCTCAGGTCCCAGGGCAAGTTTTGTTTCACCGGCACCAACACAGGCTGCCCTGCACGTGCGCCCTGGAGCTCTCTGTCGCCTCCCCTGTCCCCTTTAAATGCTAATGTCCCCCACGGTTTTGATCTCAGCTTTCCTTTCTCTCCATGTTCCCTCTCAATGGGCAATCTCATCACTTCTTACCTTTCCATTACAGAAGTGCTGTGGTGTCCCAATGCTTCTAGCTCTTTCCAAAGGTACACTGCCAACTATATACTGAACACCAGAGCTTGCAGCCCAAACGAGTCTCAGAGTACACACATTTCATCGATCTAATTATTCATCACAGCAGCCACCAGCATCTGCTTCTCTTCCTACGTTCCCCAGCAACTCAAAATTACTAGCCACTCGAGTGTCAAAACTGGAAGTCCAAAACCTGCCACACCTAACCAGATCCAATCCTGCCACTGGGAAGGCTGATCAGCTGGCTCTCAGTGGTCGGTCACTGCATCCCTGCTCCCTGGTCTGCAGCTGGGTCTCCTCTGCTCTGGCTGGGTCCCTCCTGCGAGCTCCGGGCCCCTCCCTGAGCTCCGGGCCCACCTTGCCCACCCTGCCCACCCATCGCCACTGCTATCTTTCCACAACCTGCATCAGACCATGAAACTCTCTGCTTCAAGTTCTTCACCCGTGCCTCCCTCCTTCAGCATCTTTTGAGTCGTAACCCCTTCTTGCACGTCCTCAGTGCCTGCTGTGTTCGCCTCACAGGCTGTGTGACTTTCCAGATCTGTGCTTCCACTCCAGAAATGAGAAAATGTCACATCACAGTGTAAAACCTCATTTTCCAGAGGTACTTAAAATTACTGAAAACATAGTCAAATTTGCACCTAGAAGCGAATTTACCCCTAAATATATTCACTTTTCTGTGTTATCAAATTCAGAAATGGCACGAATTAGTTCCACAACAACACAGATGCATGAGCAGCAGGAGCTCCAGTAGCGGCTTTGCGCCTGTCACCTGTGCCGGGTGGCACTCACCTGCCAGTGCTGGGTGACAGCATTCCACACTCCCACTTTCCCTGTGTGGCTTGTGGCCACCAACTGGTTCCCGATGAAGAAGAGCGCATCCACGGGGACGCCAAGGCTGAACACTCCTTAAGTGACAGAAGAAAGTAAGGAGGTTAACCAGTCACCCTCTTTACAGCTAGACTGGAAACATTTTAAAGGTGACTACATTTAATCCAGTCTCATTGCTGCAACTTATGTGCCAGGTGCTTTGGGGACCAGAAGAACGAACCCCTGAGCGGCTCACAGCGCCCCCAGCAGGCCGAAGTCTGCCCCACTGACAGAGTGTCTGGTCATCTGAAGCTGTGCTTCCCACACCCAGTGGATCATCGAGAAAACTGAGCACGTTAAAGTCACACTGGGCTAGACAGAGCGCTGGACAGACGGGCCCACTGTTGCCGGGGAGGGATGTGCTGAAGGGCGGGCTCTGCGGGGCGAAAGGGCAGCGGAGGAAGCCCCGGCGCTGCGACCCCTGAATGACAGAGGCGGCCTGAGTTCAGGGTGGCAGAGACAGTGTGGCGTCTGCAGAACTGTGTCTTTTCTGTATAGAGATGACTACAGGGATGTGGACGGGATCGCTGTTTTGCGTGTATTCATCTGGTATCAGCACAACTGATCCGATCACCGAAGACCTTCTACATGACTGTCTGCCCACAGACACAGTGGTGCTGGAGCATTCCCAGGGTGGGGCACTTCCAGGAGCCGCGCCGGGGCCCAGGGCACCCGCGGACGTCGGCAGGTGGGGCAGCCATGCGGCACCGCACACGCCCTCCGGGTCCGCCCCGCCAGGTGTCCGCCGCAGCCAAGTGGTGGGGAGACCCACCTCTCTCCTAAAACACCCATTTTTCCCCTCTTTACAGACTGGCTCCCTCACAGGAAGCAGTCCCGTTACCACTGGGTCCTGAGCAGAAGATGGGGCAGCTCCAGCCGGTTTACCGTCCGGGTCAGGTTGGATATTTCTGGGCAACCCCTGGAGAGCTACCCCAGGAAAACGCGGCGCGCAGACCCCGCCTACCGATCTCGCGGCCGCTGCCGCCGTCCTGCACGCTCCACAGGATGATGCTGCTCTCGGAGGCCACGGCCACCATCTTGTCTTTGTCTCCGTGGGGACCGCCGACCACCTTCGCGTTCAGGGCCACGCGTTCCACGGTCCAGTCCAAATACGGGCTGGTGAACACCTGCTGCCACCCCGAGGACTCCTTGATCCTGCGCGGGGAGAGGGGGCACCCACGCGGCCTCAGCAGCAGCGGGCAAACGCGGCGCCTGAGCGGGCCAGCGAGGGAGCGCGTCCCGACTGCCTACCGTTGTGTCAGATGCAGAGTTCTGTCGGCCTATTTCATCTACAGAGGCAGCCCAGTATTTCTGAACTGCCTTATACTTACATACATACAAAGTCTCAAATACGTAACAAGAGATTACAACTCTGTATGTCTGCAAAGAATAATCTGGGAAAGCCCTCCAAGTTTAACATCAACATTAACAACTTAAAAAGAAAGTTGAACCTCTCACTCTTCTCCAGAAGAAAGTACCGCGGTCATTATTTAAGCGTGGGAACCGCCAACACGAATCAGAACGTTAGGACGTTATCAGGTACTCAGCTGACGCCACACGCACCTGCTCCAGCGTCCCTCCGTGCTGTGACACCAGCCCCCGCAGACTAAGACAAGGGACGGATGTGGCGTGACCTACGCGTGCCCAGGCCTCGGCACAACCCCATGAACAGAATGTGGGGCCTGGAACCCGTCTGAGGACTGGCTTCTAAAGGTCTCACTCTACGTGGAGACTCTCACGTGCCCATTGATTCCCACACGTAAAGGTGCACCAGGGCACGGTTCTGCAGTTGACTGAATGTAAATGCTTAATGCCTTCTTTCACATTTAATTTCTGATAAATACACATGTCACTTTTAACACTTTCTCCCCTTGCCCGAGTCCCTGGCACATATTCTGGGTGGTTGTGCAGCAGCCCTGACACTTTCAGAAGCCACCCCACCATGCAGTCATGACGACAAATGGCCTGAACTTGAACTGTGGAACACCTGTCTTTCAAAGGTACACTAAACAGGTGAAACAAAGTTGCAAAGCTTCTTTTTGCCTTCCCTAGAAGGAATGAACAGAACACAAGGGGCTCAAGTAATAATCCTGCCTAGTTGTTTACGACAAGAGTTAAATGATTTAGAAGCTGAATATATGTAATAAACAAGACGAAGTAACTTCAAGATATCTCAGTTACATCACAGTTCATATTGTCTGGGAAGTAGCTAGACACATGAAGGCTACCAGCAGTATTCACCGAGTTAGCCATGAACTAAAAGCAAACTGAATCTGACCATGAGATACAGACACAGGTAGAACATGCAGGAAAAAAATCTGATGACTGAAAGAAACAGTCTCAGTCTGTGAACAGGAAATCACCACAATGAAGAACACCCCCCGCCCCCGTCCCCAGGAAAAAGCAAACGAAGCCAGCAGGACTGCACGCACCTGTAGCAGACGGCGAAGTGGGCGTAGGCGGCGACGATCCAGTTGTGGTGGCCGGCCACGATCAGCACCTTGCGAGGGTCCACGGGAAACCCTGGGGGTTCAGAGGAGGAGCTGTGTTCTACCTCGGGTGCTGGCAGGTCCCCTCTGCCTGTGCAGGTGCAGCTTTGCCGGGGCACAGCAGTGCACGGGTGCTCACAGGTTGTTCCGGGCCGCGTTCCCGTCACCGGGGCAGAGTGGCAGCCCCCGCAGAGCCCAGACTGGTCACTGTTGGGCCCTTTTACATACGAAATTGCTCAATGCCTGCACTACAGATTTATAGCAGGCACAGTATTACACATCTTTCAAAATAAGTTACATGAGATGTAAATGATACACCTGGATTAAAAAGCAGGATGAGGCAGAAACTGCATCTTCCTAAATATCGAGTATCGGCTAAAACTAGAAATATGGACTTTTCTTTTTCTGTCTCAGCGATCTTTGCTCACCTAGCCTAACCGTCTCCTCTCCCGACCCCGAGAGGACAGGCTGGGCGCCGCTTCCCCGAGCCTCCCCCTCCGCAGAGTTCAGTCCGTTCCTGGAGTCAGCAGCAGAGGGTCTCGTTGTGTTGTTTATTTTACGACTGGGAATACCTATAGGAGGAAATGGGACAAGTTTGTTTGTACGTTCACTTAACTTAAAATTTCATGTATCAAAGCAACATAAGTACGTGCATCTCACTATAGTCTACGTATGTCTTCCAATACAGCAATTTATTACAAATCATTTAATTACCATAAAAAACAAAATGAAAAAACCTAACAGATTTGTTATTTATCATGCTTTACAGAAATCAGGCTGAGCTTCACCGTAGTATACTCCACGTTACTGGAACCAACCGTTCGTTGGTTTGGTCTGGCGCTGGTCTTCACACTGAACAGTTACTAAACGTAAGGTATGAAGTGCTCCTCTGAGCCGCTTCAGAGCTGAACTGCCCCGCACTTCCAAAGGTCTTCCTCTCCTCTGGCGGGCAGAGGGGTCCTCACTGGAGCGAAACCTTGCTCCGAAGCCACCAGAACCCAGATGGAGGCAGAAGCCTTCTTCTAACTGAGAGGGTGGGGAGGACATGCGCCTCGCTGGCCTCCGTCCCACCCGCCGGCATCTCTGCAGAGCACCCGCGCTCTACCAGGAGACTGACGGGCGGCCAGTGCCCTGGCACGGGGCCAGAGCAAGGCCAGCCCCGAGCCCTCCGAGTTAACAGAGCCCCACGGAATGGTCACACGCACACGTTTCTGCGGTGTGCACGCCGGGGCTGAGCAGCGGCCCCCCGGCCTCCCGCCCTGCGCCTGAACGCTTGGGCACCTCCCTGCTCCGACAGGTGCAACGACGGAGCTGGTACTAGAATTGAAGTCCTCGCCATTTCTAGTCAATTTTCAAATGAGAAAGTCAAGAATCAGAGAACAGGTCTTCGTCCTCCCCATCTCTACATGTGTTCGGTGAGAAGCGCGTGCGGAAGGCGGAGTCCGGGAGCAGCGTACCTGGGGGGGGCAGGTATCCGTGGAAGAGCACGCTGCCGCAGGACGAGCGCTCCAGTTCCTCGCACAGCAGGAGCCGGCGCACTGCGAACGGGCAAAGCACACGGTCAAGGGCACGGCTGACAGAGCTCCGCTTCCTGTTCCTCTGGTTCAACGGGGTAAGGGAAAGGAAGGAAGACACTGGCCTTAAATCAGCCGGCAACTCTGCTTGTACGATGGAAACCCACAAAAAGTCAACACTGAGCTAGTCAGTCCATCAAAAACTTAGGACCCGGTATAAGACGCATTTTATTTGGGCAATTTAGGGCACAAAGGGGCAAATCCTAAGGACGAGACTGGCACACGTACCTAATGGAGTGATTCCGTAAAATTCGGCTTCGTGCCTGAGAACGTTAATGCTCACTCCCCTACGAAGAAATAGGAGTGAGTCTTCGGACATGGCAACGCGGGTTAGCATTCGAAGCAAAAGGAAGAGGTAACAGGTGCTTAATGTGACCAGGATCACAAGGCTTTAACACTTCCTTTCTCCTAAAATCCTCAACCATTTGAAAAAGGCTAAATAAAACTGCACAGCGGCAAAGACAGTCTCTTGCTTTAAAGCCGTTTCCACGTGGATGACACGGGTGACCGAGAAAAGTGCACTATGGGGAAGCACGTCATACGGCAAAGCAGTGAAATCACTCTCGTGTGACATGAACGGGTCGTGACTTGTTAGCACGTAACAAAGAAGCAGTTCAAGTCAACAACTGGAATTTTAAAAGCTGTATGTGTACAATACTAATAAATTCTCACTGACAGTTCACTAGCAATATGTGAAAGAAAAGAATAAAATACAAATCGGATTATAGCTTCCTGGTAACAATTCAGCCTCCAGCCAAGTTAAAGAAAAAGTTTAGCCCTGGCTGGTGTAGCTCAGTGGACTGAGCATGGGCCTGGGAACCAAAGGGTCACCGGTTAGATTCCCAGTCAGGGCGCATGCCTGGGTTGTGGGCCAGGTCCCCAGTAGGGTGTGCGTGATAGGCAACCACACACTGATGTTTCTCTCCTTCTCTTTCTCCTTTCCTTCCCCTCTCTCTGAAAATAAATATAATCTTAAAATAAAAGAAATAGTTTAAATGATCATTCATTCATCAACACCACCCCCGCAGCCTCTGCAGCAGGTGGAGCCCTGCACTGGACCCAGAGGATACACAGTAAGCAGCGCTCACCCTGCTTAGGGATAAGTCTAAGGGCAGACAGACCCCAGGAGAGGAGTACGTGTCACGGACGCCCGGGTGGTGGCAGCACAGGAGATGAGGTGCAGCACCTCATCGGGCGGATACAGCCCCCGGGGAGGTCAGGGTGAGGTCAGGGTGAGGTCAAGACATTTTAAGGAGAGTGGTGACCAGATCAGACGCACAGTGTTAGAAGAGTCTGGAAGCTACTCTATAGGGATGCAGAAGGTGGGGAGGTGAGGTCAGGAGGTGGGGGCGTGGCCAGACAGTGGGGAGGCGTGGCCAGAAGGTGGGGGACAGTGGCCAGGAGCCAGTGGGGCGCGGTGTCTGGAGGAAGGCAGGAAGGGGCCCTCTGCCCATGAGTTTCACGCTGAGATAACTTATCATAGAAAAGAGCTTTCCCCCAAAGCCATTAGGACCAAAGCCATACCCACCAACCAGAATTTATTCAAAAGGATGCATTTCTTACCTTAAGTCTAGTTCTTTCGTCCGAAGAAAATTTAAAATGGGTGCAAATGCTGCAGGATCTCTATCAATAAATATCTGTAAATGAGAAACTGCTTTATTTTCCAAGTACAGCTACAACTTCGAACTTCAGTATCTGCAGCACTAACTTAGGGAACAAAGACTGACATACTGCAGTTCCCTGGAATGCGGCTACAACTGTGTGCATCTGATACAGTACCTAGTAAGTCGGTTCTCTCATTTCTATACCCATGTCTCTAGTAAATGTGACACTGGCATTTTTATCTGAAATACTCTGGAATGTAATGAACACTTGGAAAATATTACGCATTAATACTGTTTTCTCCTGTTGCCTGACTATCAGTTATTGGCGACAGCGACTGTGACCCACATCCTTTGTGATTTCTACGGGACGCACGGACGTAACCATGCATCTCCACACCGTGCACCGCGGCAGGCCAACAAAGACAGCAGACACTGTACGCTCCTGTCTAAACCGGGAGAGAACACTGTCGAGGGCTGGGGAAGATGGGCGGACACCGGGAAGAAGTTTTTTAATTACAAACACAGCACCACAGGGAATGAAGGGGAAAACAGAATGCTTAAAAATGGGAACTACATCACTGATCTCATTTCACAGGAATGGGCATCAACGTCACTTCGGATCGATGACAAAAGCTCTAACCACAAAATTGACATGTAAGTCAATCTGGGGACAGCAGCAAAGAACCTCCCCTCACGATGATACATTATGCACATTCAGTGAGAAACGTTCATCAATTCTCGCCATTTCTTGTATCGGGACCCGTCTGAAGTGGAGGAGACCCCAAAGCTCTGTGGAGAGCTCATTACCAATGTCTTCCATAACCTCAAACAGGCATGTCTGCTGCTGCCGCATTCTATCCCCTACAAATGTCCCCAAAGCAAAGGAGCACGTGTGGTCCCTTGTTTGCTGCCTCCAAACACAGAGCCCTCCTGCTTGTGACAGCGGGAGACACTTTCTCTGCTGCTGTACACACTGTAACTGCTCTGAAGTATACAAACCAATTCCTTCGGTACTGACACATCACAGTTCTTTCATTCCCTCCTGCCACCACGGCTGCACAAATTCATGAGGTGGTTCTCCAAAATAAACAGTAAATTTTTAAAAAAAGGTTGTAGGACTGTACTAACTTATACTATCTTACACCATTTCAATGCAGTATGAACATGTTTCACTAGTTACATCAATGCATCTGCTGTTACAGTTTGGGTCACTGATTACACTTACAGACAATGTAAGCTCACCTCCCCACTGTCTCTAACCATGGATACTTCACCTGCTGTACGCAGTATTCCCTGTACAGAGTTCTCTTCTGTAAATATAGAAAGTCTACATAGGACAGAAAATAATAAACTCTAAGTACGTACATGCCACTTTCACTTAGTGGTTATTAAAATATTAGCTTTCTTGTCTTCTGGGAGTCGAGGTAGAATAAGAATCAAGCACTAGAGCCTTAATCTAATATGGATGCATATTCACATTTTTATACTTACAGCACCGGTTTCATCTCGAAGTGTTGAAATCCTTCCACTCAGCAAACTGTAAGTCATTAACCATAAGCTGGTTAGTGTTTAAAATCCAAGTATAAATACACATCCTCATTCCTTATCAAGTGTCAATGACCAATATGAACGCACCATCTTATCTCCAAAGTAAAATTTTTCAAAAATTATCATTTTTTTTGTGACGAAGAAGGAAACTTTATTCAGTACAAGACCAATTCTTATTTTAAAAGTTAAGATATTTTATTAACTTAAGAAATAGAAATATTAATTTAACAAACAAGGAAAATTTTACTAATTTGATAAATACTAAGTATATTAAAAATGGTACTAAAAATTATATGAAATACCTGGAAAAAAACGAATCTGGAATCCACATGAGAGTCTGTTTTGAGGTACTAAATCTGCAATTGAAAAGTATCTGGTATTATAAATGAGAATATATTCAAAACTCCAGTATTAGTTAACTTGCTCTAATATGCTGGTCCATGATTTACAAGTTGTTGCAAAGCTATAACCCTATCAATTATATTCATCACATTTCATAGTTTTAGATTTCTTTCAATTCAGAGTTAAGAGCATTCAGAGGTCTCAAAAAACTGGATTAACTCACTGTCACACAATGCTTCCCAGCACACCACCAGACCTAAGAATCAACAACCAGCCCACCGCCCCAACTCTAACCCTCTCAGCCTAACCTCAGAATTATCCTCAGGTCTGGTTTCTCCTCCCCAGCACAACGCATGTTCCTCTCTTACAGAGGGTGCTCAATTTCCCCAAAGTCATGGTCACTACCATTTCAGTTTTTAAAATTTATCCCAGCTACATAGCTGTTGTGATATCCAATAATCAAAGCCCCACCCATCTTTCTTAATACTCTTAAGGTTTTACCTTTTCCTTAACGGCTTTTCCAAATAGTCTATCCTCTATTATTATTTTGAGCTCACAGTAATTCCATTGTACATAATGCACTTAACACTTTCTTTAAGTGCAGTCCTAGACCATTCGCAATTGTCATTATCATTCCCTTTAAAAAAATCACTCAGTTAATAATACTGCATGCATATTCTGAGGTTAAACTGACATATACTCAAGTCTGCTTATTAGCACAAATACAGGGAAGTTTACCAAGGCTCACTCAGCATAACAGATGAGGACAAAAAAAAAAAATCAGAACCTGATGCAAACTAACATGACCAAGAATGAAATCTTGGGCTTGTCCAATTCAGCCCTCGTTATCTGAGTATTATTGTTAGTTACAGCTTTTCAAAGCCACTCCTGTGGCCACGGATCATATTTAAGAATGGAGCCAAACAGTTCGTTCAAGAAAACACAGCAAATTTGCCCAAACGGTTCCTTAGCAGACTGTTAAGAACCAATGAGATTATAGCTAGTCACAGGAAACTGACCTGGTGAAATAAACAAAAGCAAATGCAGTGAACAGTAAACCAGCAGAAATGAGTCATTGTGTATCGGATCCCGGGCCTTTTTCCCTTGCACTGCAGCTTACTCAGCAAAACTCCCGCCAAATAACTCAGACTTTACGTTACTTAGAAAACTGCACAAGTCTGCTTAAAGTCATAGTAACAATTTCAATTAAAATCACCCAGGTGGGGTGGGCTTAGCAATCGCGTATTTTGGGGTAGAGGAATAGTACTCCCCCCCCCCCCGTTTTTTTTTTTTTTCAAACAAGAGTTAGGAAAAAACCCAGAGCTCCTCAGCTGGTTCCAAATATGACTTCATGAAAACTACATTTAAAATTACGTGACAAGACTTTTCTGCAACACATATGAAAACATCCTAAGTTTTTTAACTCACACCCACAGTGTGCCAGGCAAAGGGACGTGTGCAATCTGGTCTCAATAAAAGTATTACTGAAGATATCAGCATGTTCACATGTACACTTGATGGTACTTGCCTCCTATGAAATTAACTTGGAAGCAATCGAATTAAAATTATTTATTCTGAAATGTTACCATTGGTAATGCCAATAACCCTTGCATTTCCCATTCATTACTTCACCTTCCTTTAGCAATCCAGTAAGGCTGGCACTATTGTAGTCCCTTTACGTTTCTGGAAACCAAGTGCTAGAAAATAATGTACCCAAGGCAGCTGCTGGTCAGAGGTAAAGCCTGGGAACTGGAACCCGAACCTGTCCCACGCCAAAGCTCTCTGTCCACGAGTCCCCCCAAGGGACTGGTCCCAGGCCCCTCTCAGGACGCCTCCAATCAGACCCACTCTAACAGAATTAATCACAAATTGAGTTATATTGGGTTTCGTTCATTTCATTAGGCTTTTTTTCCGAAAAACTACTAACAATTCTAAATGAAACTTCATCTTTTGTCTGAATCACTCCCAAAGATAAATCATAAAAACCGGTCATTTCTATCATTTCATTGAGCATGTCTATTCTGTATCTCACTTCTCTGGAAATTAAAAAAATAAGAGGACCCTGCCATGGCACGTGGTGCTTCCGAGTTTCCTCTGCAACCTCCAGCCACCTCATAGGGCTCTCCAACGGCAGGCAATCCCTGGAGTTCAGTGAGGGTTCCAGCTGGGCTTTCCTTTACGGTGATGACTTTGGTGACTGCTGATCTGTGCTCCCCACAAGATATGGATGACTTCTAGATCCCTTCCCGCTCTAGCATGATGCAAGAGCCTACGATGCGGAGTAACTCAGGAAAACAGCCTGTCACTGCTGGGTGTGCCGTTTCTGTACACAGGCCGCGGCACTACTCATCATACAGGGTGCTATCCTCAAGTGTGGCTTTTTCCCTTTGTTCTCAGTCCTATGGAACAACCTTCATCCATCTTTCTAAACCTTTCTAATATAGCTGTCTACTGTCTACTGTGTGTGTATTCTTTGCTAATTCATCACTTAGAAAAATTTAGGACCTGATCAAGTTTCAGAAGCACTAAATATAAATATAGAAATATAAAATAGTCCAGCTGGAAGAAAACTGCCTTACATGGTTTAAAATTTTTTAAATGAATTCTAAGGTCCAGTCCTTAACAGGAGTCCACTCAGTATAAAGCCATGAACTTTCAGCATATGGAAGTAACAGTACTGTTCAATTTTTATTACCACACTGCACGCCCTTCAGAATGCCTAGAAATGCATGTCAGCAAACAGGACCAGTAAGACACCAGTGTAAGGACTTTAAATGAATGACTCGTTATTCCTCAGTACTGACACTTAAGGAAATCTACCCCCGTGGGTGTTCCAATCTCCCATCCGTAGATTTCCAAACCTGCACAATTTTCACTGATTTCAAGAATGTATCCATTTCTTACACTAGGGAGCAAGTCTTTTCCTCCATAAGACTAGTATCTACACAGAGACAGCAATGCTGTAATTTCTTAACTATTGAACCATTTTGCTTTGGGGCAGGGGCGTTGCAAGGAACGGAGGAGGAGTAATTCTTGGGTTAAATTTTCTAGTGCACTTTGAAAACTACTGAAACGCCTAAGATTCAAACATTTCATCGCTATCGTTCACGCTGTTTCCATCTTGCATTTCTGAAGCCATTACTTAAAAATCTAAGATATTCGAGCACAGCAAGATACGCGGCATTCCGGAACACGCCTTCAACACTAAAACTCAACTGCTTGTGCCTTAAACAGAACTGGCAAACGCCCGTGTTTGAGGGCTGACTCATGAGCCATAGTCAATTCACCAGAAAAGAAAAGGGGGGGGGGGGATGTTTTTTTCTTTCCCCAACAAGCTCAGTAAAAAGCAGAGAGGGGAAGGCAGGCCAGAAAGGGGACAGAGGAGCTGTGTGTCTGTCTGTTTTCCACGAGGGCGTCACACCATGCCCACAGCCTAGGCTTCCCAGAACCAACTCTGCAAAGTGAAGTTTCTGGACACGCTGCCCTGAAAGTTGCACAATCCTGCAGGGCCACGCACAGAGAAACTGGGAATAACAACGCCCTGCACGCTCTGCACCCCAGAGCCCCTCACAGGCGCCGTGCGCGCGTTTATCCCCCGCCCCCAGCTCCCGGCCCCAGGACTGAGCCCCGGGGCACTAAGGGCGGGACCGAAGGGGCTCCTTCGCCTGCCCGGGCTAAGCCTCAAGGCCAGGCGGGTACCTTAGGGCAGTGCACGAAGAGAGGGAGCGTTCCAGCCCCGCCAAGCACCGGCCCCGCTCCCGGGAACCGCAGGAGGCCCCGGAGCCCGTCCCTTCCAGGCGCGGATGCAGACGGCAGCCGGTCGAGTCCCGCCGCGAGGGCCCGCGCGCCCCCCACGCCCGCCCGCGTCCCCGCGACCCGGCGTCTCCGCCGCCCCCCGGAGGCCGCACCCCCGGCCCAGGCCCCGCCGCGCCGGCCCACCTGGTCCCCCCCACGTTGAGCTGCACGATCTCGCCGCTGCCGGCCGCCGCCGCGGGGAAGCTGCCGCAGTGCCCTCCCGCCATCGCCGGCGGCTCCCGCGCGCGCGCCGCGCCCCCAGCCCGGCCGGGGCCTCGGGCGGCGGCGGCCGGAGGGCGGGAGGGCGCCGGGTCTCCCCCGCGTTCCCCGGCCTCCGCGTCTGGCGGCCACTAGGCCGCCGGGCCCGCCCGGGCGTCTTCGGGGCGCTCGGCTGCCGCCGCCGGGGACGCCACCGCCGCGGCCACGGGCGGAGGGGTCGCCGCTGGGGACAAAACTCCGCGGCGCGCAGCCTTCGCCCGCCGCAGCCGCGAAGGACCTGGGCGGGGTCACGAGGGCGGGCGGGGAGGGGAGGCTGGGGCGGAGCCTCCCGGGCCCGCGGGGCCGCGTGGAGCGAGGCCCGGGAACTCGTTCCCCGACTGAGGCCGCGGGCTCCGGCCGATTCCAGGCCCCTCCTCCCCCCGTCCCCGCGCAAACTCAGCCCCTTCCTTTGCAGGTGGAACAGTTGCAGGGCCAGGCTCAGGGTCCGCGATGCAGCAAACGCCTGGACGCCTGCCCGCAGCCCCTGTATTCGGGAGGTGCACGGAAAATATAGGAGCTGCAAGGAGGATTTCCTAGCTGGAGAAGTCGCTGCCTAAACGTACACGGCAACAGTGCGATGAAATTTTGGAGATTTTTAAAACCTGTACATCGTTCATCGGAGCACGTTGGTCACGTGGCTCTCTTCAATCTTGTTCCCGCTTGGGAACAAGGGCAAACAAGGGCTTCATATCCCCAGAGCGGGGAAGCCAAGGCAAGGGCACTTGCCTTTGGGGAAAGAGGCGCTTGACTTGCCAGCCGGGAGGCCAGGCTCTCTCCAGCGTGTCCTCTGGATCCCGGATTTGGGGCAGGTTTTAATTAAGGGGTTACATTTAAGGGTCCGCAAGTATTACTCGTGAGGGCTGTTTCACAGGTGTTACTCCTGGGTCTGGATCTTGTTAGAAACAGGACTAGACCAGGTGCTGAGTGTACAGTCTCATCTCCAACCCCCTCGCTGCCGCCACCAACAAGCAGGGTTTTTTTTTTTTGGGGGGGGGGGGTTGGTTGGTTGGTTGGTTTTCTTTTAAAGCAAGGACTTAAAGGAAAGAACAAACCCCAAATCCCTAAGTACTGTGGTCAGAAAGCATAACCTGTATAACCTGAATTTTCAAAACTGTATGATGGCCTTTTGGAAGGCCCAGGCAGGATATGATCTACCTGGGTGAATGTCCCGTGGGCACTTGAGAAGACTGCGCGTTTTGCTGCTGCTGCAGGAATGTTCAGAGAGACCAGCCGTGCTAGTCGATGGTGTTGTTTAGATCCTCTCTATCTTCGCGGATTTTCCTTCTACTTGTTCCAGCGGTTACTTTAAGAGATTTGTCTTCTTCCGGTTCTCAGTTTTCAAGTGTGCTGCATCTGGTGTTTTCAAGTGCAGCTCTTAGCTGCACAATTGTTTTCGACTGTTCTGTTGTCTTCGTGATATGGCGTCTTTATCAGCATGAGGCGATCCTGCCCCAGAGATGGTGGACTCGTCCCTCTAGTCTTTGACTCTCTTCCCCGGTGCCCCCCCTTCTCTGTGTGTCAAACCTTCCTCTCCTCTCTCTTAGGAGGATACCAGTCCTGGGATGTTATGCTCCACCCCGTGTCCAGAATGACCTTATATCCAGATCCCTAACACAATTTCATCTGCCAAACTCCTGTTTCCAAATGGGGCCAGATTCCCAGGTTTCAGGCATTTTGACGTGGTCACATCTGGGGGCTGCCATTCAAGCCTCTGTACATTCCCACAACAAACTTGCACACAAATATTTGGAGCGACTTAATTTGTAAATAGCCAAGAAGCAGATATAATCCGACTCTACCGTCAGGGGAATGAATAAACAAATTTGTTCCCTTCATCAGAATCCTCAGCAGTGAAAAGGAAAGAATTAGTGCTATACACGAGAAACTAAGACAACTGTCAAAGCAATGATAAGAAGACAAACCAGGAAAAAAATATATATATAGTGTGCAGTCCTATTTATAGAAAATTCTAGAAAATGTAACCCAGTCCGCAGTTACAGAAAGGAGATAGATTGGTGGTTTTTCTGGGGGAGAGCGGTGGCGATGTGTGGAAGGGAGTATACAGGGGCACCAGGAAGTTTCTCAGGTGACCTATGGTCATTATCCTGACTGGGGTGATGGTTTTCAGGATGTATATGTATGCCAGACATTACCAGACTGTTTACTGTAAGTAAGAGTGGGTTTTTGTGTTTTAATTAAACACAAAACTCCATAAACTCAAAAGTCATGCTTCCTAGTGTGTCCTGCAAAGCTGCCGTCATCTGTGGTGGTTCCCGAAAATGACACCACCACTGTCCCACTCCTCATTTATATGCTGCCTTGGCTTCTCTTCCTATGTGCCAACGGAAACTGATTACTAGGGGCTGTGTCACTCGGGGGTCCTTGTCCTCCTCCGGTCTCAGAATCAGCAGTGAGAAGCACCAGCAGGAGACTCAGGACCCAGGGAGACAGGGGCCAGGGCCTTTCTTGACCCCTGCTTCTCCCTAGTTCCAGAAGTGCCTGTGTTCTTCACTGGCCACACTTCATGTAATAGCCCCCTTTTGGATTCTAGTTGTGAGTAGGTTCCTGCACACCACGCCTTTCCCTAATAAAGGGATAATTACTTTCTGGTGTTGCTACTCCTCAAGCAGTTTACCATCCCTTTATGGATTCCTTAAATCTGCCCACACTCCTTGAAGGAGTGCCTTCATTCAAGTCCCTTCTGTTAATAGCTCCCCCACCCCCACTCCCAAACACATACCTCCTAAGGTAAAACAAGAAATTCTTACCGGTAATACTTATAATAATGACAATGCAATCTGCGAAAAGTCCCCAGATCCACAACAGAGATACTCTTTGCATTACTAGGGAAAGAGATTTCAGTCTTCCTTTCTTCTCTTATTTCTAGGCCAGTCATTGGTAAACTATGGCCCCCAGGCCGAATCTGACCCACCACCTTTGTAAATCAAGTTTTGCAGGACAGAGTTTTATGGAACACAGCCACACCTACATGTCATGCCTACCTTTTGCATGACAAGGACAGAGTGAGTGGTCCTGACAGAGACTTTATGGCCTGTGAAGCCTAACGTGCTTGCTTCTCTGACCTTTTACAGAAGGAGTTTGCAGTCTGGGCCCTGGCCAGCACCTCACGATGCTTCAGAGAGCAGACTCGTTATTCTTAGTGTCCAAAGAATAGAGCGCCTTTAAATACGTAACTGGCAGAAGCTTTCATTAAAACCTTCAGTGATTGAAGGTTCCCCCCCCCCCTCCGTTGTCACCACAGGAGGGAAGGAAGCAGTATAATGACTGTCTTTTTGCCAGGTCCAGAAGACACTCCCAGGGTTTGGGTTGTCTTTCCACGGACTCCCGATGGCTGTGCACTGTTAAACAAGAAGCAAGGAACCTGGGCGAGTCACTGAGAGAAGGTAGACTGGGGCATGTCATCTGGTTTGAAACCTTTCATACAGCCAGATACGAGTATGTGGTTCCCATTTATACAAAACTGAACACCAGCAGTTCTGTAACGAAGAGGAAAAACTAAAACCTAGACCATGCTGACCGATAACCTTTCAGTTACAGTAACAATAACATTTCTGGTTTTGGAAGTGTCTCCAATGTTTAATAGCGATCAAACATCGCTATTAATAGTGATTAATCTATTCAATACAGTACTTTGAAAAATCATATTATTAATGAGTGAAAGCCTCTTAGGACCATTAGTCAATATACATTGAATTTTCATTAAAGGTTAATACATTATGGTATAAAAATGATTTGAAAAAAACTATTGGGTCACATCCCATCCTATCATGACAGGGTGTGGAAAAACAGGGGAGGGCTCAGTATAATCTTCAAGTGCTCCAACTCACCTTCTTAGAAGATGTGCAGACACATTTCATCATTTCAGTGACGCTGCCTTCTCATAATCCATTTGCCTAAAAGTCTGAGTGTCCAAGTGCAGAAAAGTCTCAACAAAGAGAAGGCAGAGTAACTTGGGGGCCTTCATTTCAGTAAGATTTTAAACCAGAATTGGTTTCTGCGATGCAGACTACCAAAAAAAAAAAAAAAAAAGGACCACCTAACTCTGCTTAATTTAGTAGAAAGTCCGTGGACTAAGAAATTTACACAACAGTATTTGTAGATGAAATTTTGAGAAAGTACTTCCCAGCTCAATTTAAATTTTAAAAAATCACCATAGTTTGAAACTGCGATCTCCTTTTTTGTAATCAGAAATCTGTTTTTAAGTCTCAGGCTGAGTTCACATGACGAACAGAAAAAGTGAGTAAAGCAAATGAGAATAAACATACCTGTGCTAAAAACAAATAAGAATAAATATTTCAGTGCTGACTACAATTTGAATGTCAAAAGTTTCACGGAATCTGAAAGGCCGGTCTAGGAAAAATTGTATCCTATTTTATAGCCATTATTTTGAGAACCATTAGGCATAGAGAAGAGTATTACCTCAATCCTTTGTCCTTCCAGCACACCCTAATTATTCTTTTTCGGTCGACCACATTGCTCAGGCTGAACACCACTTCATAATGACTTATTATAATGTGGGGCTAAAGCTCCTTGTTTGAGGATTCTGAAAGCCATTAAAGAGCCATTTTGGAGACAATATCTAAAGAAACATTTCTATGCGTGTTAGTTAGTAAGTGGTAGATTGTAATCTAAGTAGTATTTTCTCATCATTGGAACCATTGTTTGCATGAGTCCTGTCCAGGGAATGAATTATTAGTTCACATGCCGCTGTGGCAGAGGTGAAAATAATACATGACACGTTGAACACCATTTAAACTACACTATGATTTTCCATTCCTTCTCAACAGAAACGGCCTTTCTCGGAGACAACGCGTCCTCATCAGCTTGGGGGTCATAACCACAGGCCACTGCTGTGCTGCGAACTCTGGATTAGGTCTGGTTTGCGGACAGGACTGTCTCCCAGACATTGCAGTCAAGCTGTGCAGACATCAAGTTCCAGGCCTTGTTGTGCAACCCTGTTCATCATCTTCCACAGAGAAGAAAGGCTGTTTCTTCTCTCTCCAACCCTAACAGCTCGCACCCCCATGGATAAGGAATTCTCTTTTTATCTCTGGCAGTTGGTTTATTAGAGAATGTTAGGAAAGGCCTCACCGTCCAGCTGTATGCCCTTTTATGTTGAGTGCTCAGCCCTATTCACCCACGGACTCATTCCTTGACCTTGATTTTTACCCAACCTAGCCATTGATACTTGAAG